TCGGCCACGTGTACATGTAACAAGACACGTGCTACTGACATATCAGACATCAGACATCAGACATCGGTAGATAAGTTATTTTTTACATCTGTAGATACAGAATGTCGTACAGTAGCACAATGTATAACAGTTTGGTATGGGCTGATGTCGGTGGCCAAAAACATCTGGCGATCCTGTCACTTTTTCTACATAAACCTATAATTTGCCTTTTTTGTTAGTAAATTAGCTGTGAAGCAGCCATTGTGAGAAATTTTTGCCACGTCCCGTCATTAATTATTCAAACCAATGAGATCTTATCACAATAGCGAATGGCTGATTATTAGGTCATGTTGTAGAGAGGTGTTATGCCACGGGCTGATAATCGTGTTGCTATTTCCGTCTTTCAATCTACATTCCACTATTTACACTGGCAAAGAGAAAAGGCATGCTGTACTTCAGTTCTAGCTACGCTCTCGCTCAATACAACTTCACCCTGGTTCAGTGTCGGAGCACGTCGGATATGTCAGCACCATGACACTGCCAGTGGGTCTCACCAAAGCATGCGTCTCAGATGGACATGAGCTCTCCTTCCACACCCAGCGGACAGCGGCGTTAATACTCACTCACTCACTCACTCACTCATGTGTGAGTGGGACAACACGGAAATAATAAACATTAATACACCACACAAGTAGAAACAAATATACCTTTTATAAATATATAGCTGAGAGTGAGACAACACAGAGAGATATAGACTATATCACACTAGCTGAAATAGTATATACACCCATATACCACAGTGACTAAGACATAGATAACGTGTATACACCCATATACCACACTGATTGAGACATAGATAACGTATATGCACCCGTATACCACACTGATTGAGACATAGATAACGTATATACACCCATGTACCACACTGATTGAGACATAGATAACGTATAAACACCCATATACCACACTGATTGAGACATAGATAACGTATATACACTCATATACCACACTGACTAAGACATGGATAACGTGTATACACCCATATACCACACTGACTAAGACATAGATAACGTATATACACCCATATACCACACTGATTGAGACATAGATAACGTATATACACCCATATACCACACTGATTGAGACATAGATAACGTATATACACCCATATACCACACTGACTAAGACATAGATAATGTATATACACCCATATACCACACTGATTGAGACATAGATAACGTATATACACCCATATACCAAACTGATTGAGACATAGATAACGTATATACAACCAGTAACCACAGTGACTGAGATAAACATAACATATATACGCCAATATACCACACTGAGTGAGACATACATAACATATATACACCAATATACCACACTGACTGAGACATAGATAGTGAGTATACACCAATATACGAGGGGTGTTCATTAAAGATTTCCCCTAAACCACTTAGGGTTATCATATTTGGTTGAAATGATACATGTATCTATGGGTTATGTCTGAATTTGCAGCACCGAACTATTGATCTTACCACTTTTACAGGTGTTATGATCGAGTAGGGTGTGACAATGGAGCCGGTAGAATACCGAGCAGTGATTAGGTTTTTATATTTGAAAGGTCGCACACCAAAAGAAACTTTCGATGAAATGAAAGCAACTTATGGGGAAGATGCCCCATCATATGACGTTGTTAAACACTGGCATCGCCAGTTCAAGTGTGGTCGGACATCTGTGGAAACAGCTGCCATTCCTGGTCGCCCCCATTCAGCCATCGATGAGGACACTATCCATCAAGTGGAGACCGCCATTTTGGCAGACCGACGTATAACTGTTCGCCAGTTAGCACAAGATGTCAAGATCAGTGTAGGGTCTGTGGAAAAAATCATCCATGACAATTCGAACATGCATAAGGTGTCTGCACGATGGATTCCCAGGTTGCTCACATCTTTCCAAAAGCAGGAACGAGTCAATGGCTCAAAGGATCTTTTGGACATGTGCCAAAAAAAACAGGCAAACCTTTTTGACAGACTTATCACACAGGATGGAACATGGGTCCATCACTATGATCCTGAGACTAAAGTTCAGTCGATGCAATGGAAGCATGTGGAGTCACCACCCCCAAAGAAGGCACGTGTCCAACCCTCTGCAGGCAAGGTCATGCTCACGGTGTTTTGGGACCAGCACGGAGTAGTGATGATGGATTTCTTGGCAAAGGGTACCACAATTACAGGAGCTTATTATGCTTCACTGCTGCGGAAATTGCGGGACGCTATCAAGCTTAAGAGGCGTGCCATGCTGACCAAGGGTGTCCGTCTCCTGCAAGACAATGCTCCAGTACACAACTCTCATGTTGCCCAGACAGAAGCGCGGTCCTGTGGCTATGAAATCCTTCCACATCCTCCTTACTCTCCTGACCTTGCACCATCTGACTTCCACCTCTTTCCAACCATGAAGTCATTTTTGAAGGGAAAACGTTTCACAGATGATGAAACACTGATTTCTGAAGTCAAGTCCTGGTTTGAGACGCAAAATGAGGGCTTTTACAAGCGAGGTCTCCATAGTTGCGTAAAACGATGGGAGAAGTGTGTAACTCTTGGTGGTTCCTATGTGGAGAAAGACCAATATCTATGCCAAGTTTCATTCCACTAGGTCCATCGGAAGTGGGTCAGGGGAAATCTTTAATGAACACCCCTCTGATAACGTATATACACCAATATACCACACTGACTGAGACATAGATAAATTACATACACCAATATACCACACTGACTGAGACATAGATAGTGTATATACACCAATGTACCACACTGACAGGCAGATAACATATATACACCAATATACCACACTGACTGAGACATATGATAACGTATATACACCAATATACCACACTGATTGAGACATGTGATAACGTATATACACCAATATACCACACCGACTGAGACATACATAACGTATATACACCCATATACCACACTGATTGAGACATAGATAACGTATATACACCAGTATACCACACTGACTGAGACATACATAACGTATATACACCAGTATACCACACTGACGGAGACACTGAGGTATAGCACAGAAGGCACAACAGCCGATGGCATTATGTCCACAGTGAATGAACAACCACATCCCTCATTCATCATCGACTGGTGTGCGACAGGGGAATCAACTGGCGGGGAGTGGTCACTCTCCACATTAATCCGTTTTGACAGCTATCCCCAAACGACAGCTGCATGACGTCACTGTCAGGGTCACAGGTTCGATCCTCACAAAACTCAGGGGAGTTTTAGCTGTTTTTTAGGCTATGTTTTAAGAGTTGCAGCCTTGGAAATATTGATAAATACTTACCATCAATGCGTATGTGAGACCAGAGTGATCCCCAGATGAAATAAAATTCCGATAACATATTAAGGAATGGAAAGCAGACATGTATACCGTATCATGAAATAAACGCCCAATGCTACAATACTTTTTCACATTCTCAAGTGACGCTTTTATATTTGGCGTATTGGAGTTCATTTGTTTGGGCAAACATTATCTTATAATCAAGCAAAACTCAAAATGCATTTGATGTATAGACATTTTTATTCTTTTAGCTGCAGTTTTGTCGGCTTAAGGGTAATGGAAGTGTTCAAAGCATTCTAATGAATTATGAATCGACTAATGTCATTGTTAGAAGTACGTTGTTGTGGCGATTCCTTGCGATGAACAGTAGATGGGGGTTTCTGAAGATGTCACAGTATCATCACTGTCTCGGTTGGTTCGCCGTATGACGTCGAAGCCTTTGTGCAGTCTGGGGGCATCCCATCTGGTACGGGGGGCTGCTGAATCTATTGTCACAATGCTACATTTGTTGGTTTGGGTTGTTGTGGCTGTTCCGTGTCTGCCGTAAGTGTTACATACATAGGTATTTGGTTTGAAACAATTTACTACCGCTGTACCCACTTGACCCCACCGCCCCATTTGTCTACAGAGATACATGACTTGTATAATGTTATCAGTGTTATTATCAACATGAATCTGTCTGTATTCACAATACCGAGACAGCAGTTTGTACTGCTATATCATCCTCGATAGCCCAGTGTATTTTATCTCCTTACTATTATGATAAATACCCTTGACCATTCACAACCTCGTCCGGAAGTTGCGTATTCGATTACTTCAAAAATGGTGACATGACTTGTAATGGGAGTATAGCTTATAATGTAGGCGCTACTTGTAATAGGCTTTTTATATTGAGCATATTTCCACACCAAACAGGGGCATGATCAAAGCGCTGTTATTACCCGTCACTGGATTAGTGTGCACTCAAAAATCATTCTCTTCTCCCTGGGGAGTATACAACCCAAGCTGTCTGTGAGGCACTGGAAGGCTAACAACCACATTACCATCTCATCCTACCGGGTACCCATTCACTGCTAGGTGAACTGAGGCGCATTTCGAACAAAGTCACTTGAGTTACATGTGCGTCTGTGTGGGACAAGACCGAAGCCCTAGAAACTCTCTGGGGCCAAACTGCCGAAACACCGTCACCACACCACGAACTCTCCACGACCAAATTGGCTTCACCTGATTTTGTGATTTGTGATCACGTGACACCACGTAATGGAAGAGTGAGTGAGTAAGTATGGTTTTACGCCGCTTTTAGCAATATTCCAGCAATATCACGGCGGGGGACACCAGAAATTGGCTTCACACATTGTACCCATGTCGGGAATCGAACCCGGGTTTTCGGCGTGACGAGCGAACGCTTTAACCACTAGGCTACCCGACCGCCCCCGTAATGGAAGAGTGTGGGAGGTTGCAATGACATCAACTACTTGGCAACTCCCTGAAAAGTGATCTATATGTGCCTCATTGTTATTTAAAGTGAATATTGTGGAAATATAGATCAACTAGACAAACGACTACAGAAATCCAATCATAAAGAAATTTGTGAAGGTCAGTTGGTTGGTTGAATCAATACTGAATTGACTAAATGTTTTGACAAAACAACAAACATGTTATTGACACAGATATGTTTATTTCATGTACGTATTGTTGCAAACCTTCACACTTCCACCACCTGAAGCTAAACAGCTTGTTGTCCACATGTCATGCTGTGTTGTATTGTATCTATTAACACTGCCAATGGCCATAAACCACTAAGGACAAGTCAAGGATGGGTCATGCCATCGTCAAATTCACATTAACACTGAATCATAATCCCACAATAGCTTCAGGGGGGGGCCCTTATCTAAAGTAGGAAACAGATTAGTAGCTCATCATAGCAAACAGAAAAATAATAATAATAATAATAATGAAGATGCGATTATTATTATTATTATTATTATTCATTGTCCGGAAGATGCATCCAGACATAGGTGGTTTCCTATTACGGTACACCCACAGAAATATATAGACAATCAACAGTCTTGATTGATTCTTGGGATTACTATAGCATTTGCTTTTGAATTCAAATTGTTCAAGTTTAACAAAAACTAACATGGATACCATGGTTAATACCCAAGCTAAAAGTAACTTCTCATAAGTAAAAATAATAGAGTCTGGACCAGACACTCCAGTGATTGACATCATGAGCATCGATCCTCGCAACTGGGATACGAAGACATGCATCAACCAAGTCAGCGAGCTTGACCACCCTATCCCGGTAGTCACCTCTGACAAGCATAGTCGCTCTAAACTAATGCAAAAGGTCATCAGAAGACATGTTTCCTAAACATCTACCACCTGTGGACAAACATCACTTGCATCTCTGGAATCCTGTTTAACATGTACGCTTTGACAGCTATTACAAAAATAGTATTTATTCTATGTACAAATATTGTGGAGGGTTACAATGTAGCACACACTAAGTAACTTCTATATACAGACGATAAAGTAGCCGCTAACATCAGTGTCACCCTCCACAGGATAATTATATTAATAGTATTTGTATGTATTACCTAGGTATACGGGATATTATTCCAGGTGTAAATGTTCAATGGTCATAACAGTATTGACTGGCATTTGATTGGCGAGTAAAGACGCACTGTTTCTGAATAACTAACACCTACTCATAGTACACCAAATATACTCATCACCAAAAGAAACGGAAAGCATCACCAAAAGAAACGGAAAGCAAAGAAACATATTGAGAAGTATGTACGTTGAAAAGGGATGTGTACCAATTAGTAACAAAACTAAGAATCAGTCAAATGTTACCACAGTGTTTTTATTCAGATAACAAAATGCGTCATGTCATTTCCAAACTGTACAAGCTAATCCTGCACGAGTCAAATGGTACATCTCAAGTCATGGATCTTTGACATCACCTGTGATGCGTTCATGAGCATCGGTTCACCTAATATCTCTTGATTATGAATAAGTCTTCATATATTAACCAACATGTATGGTATTCGTGTTTCTTTTGGCGGTGATAATATATAGTCAACAATAGCTTCATGACTTTCTCTTGCATCAAGTAGTGATGTTCTCAAAGTCGATTAAACTAAAATTAAAATAAATCTTGTGTAATAAAGACATTCTGTGCAACAGGCCGCCTCTTCCTTGCAAATTCAAGTGTACCATATTTCCTCTAATAAGCACAATGAAGTTAACTATTTCAGCGATCAGCCGCCCACCACTAGCTTGCTTATCATTTCAGGGTCAATGTGAGTGAGTGAGTGAGTATGGTTTTACGCCACTTTTAGCAATATTTCAGCAATATCAAAGCAGGGGACACCAGAAATGGGTTTCATACATAGTTCCAAATATTGGCGAATCAAACTCAGGCCTGAGAAAACGCTTTAACCACTAGGCTATCTCACTGCTCCTCAGGATAAATGTGCTTGGTTGGGGCCATTATTATTGTACATGACTTTCTCTATGTTAAACGTACTTACTCAGTGCTTATTAGAGACCTGGAGCCTTCCAACAAAACTACAATGAACCACAAATAAGGTTTGAACCAGTTGTAAATGGACATCCCAGGACTTCTAGTTCTGGTGGCAATATATCCCATTGTATGCTGGGAACTATTGTCAGGATATTAGTTACCACGGACAACCAGCAATAGTCCCCAATAGACAATGAATACGTATACACCGGGCTAACACGAGGCAAAGTGATTTCTTACATTAAATCTGCTTATACCATAGCACTTATTAGAGTTAATACCTTAAGTCTGTCTGCAAAATATTAGGTGTTGTTCAGGGTAGAGATCTTCTTTGTCTACTAATCCCAGGACACATCCAGTACACCATCACCCTCCTGATCAACACCACAGCGACACCGAGTTACATCAACAACACTATTACATCATACATTGGCAACGGCTATTAAGTACCACCTAGTTTACACAATGGGGAATAAAAAAGAGTTTTTCAGATGTATTGTTATTATTATTATTTATTCATGAAAGGATCACCGTTGCCTTTATGACCATATGAAGCACAATACAACATGAAATGCCTGTCAATTGTCACGACTGTGAGCCAATCATTAGTGAAACAGGTATTCTAAACCTGGGCAATATAACACATGTTATATAGATAGATTAACAACAGCATTTGGGCCTGATATCAGGTGAAGGTTGTTTGTACTCTTGTCAACAGTAGTGTCTCCAAGTCAACAATATTCTACGGCCTGTGAAATCATTATCACAGGTAGCAGGATTTGATTATCACATTTATCTTGAACCATATGGTAATACAAGTTAACAGAAACTATCACTATTACAGGGTTTTACCTTTGATATAACACATATACTACACAAAAGAAGTTAAAGAACACCCAATTCTTTCATGTTACTCTAGTTATTGCATAAGAGATTAACTCTAGTAATGTGAAAGAACTGGGTGTTCCTTAACTTCTTTTGTGTAGTACATGTATATGACAGTTTAAGTCATGAACAACATCCGGGCCCACTTGCACAAAGCGATCTTAGCGCTAAGATGATTGTAACTCCAATACTTTAGCATAGGCTTACAATAGTCTTAGCGCTAAGATTGCTTTGTGCAAGTGGGCCCTGGACTTTATACATTAGGTCACAATAAAAATCAATCAATAAAATGTACAATGATTTACAACTGACACCATGATGTTTGTTCTGATGCGGTTTTATGGCAGGACCAAAACAAAAGTAAAGTAAACAAAGACAACAGCAAACCAGACAGAAAAACCTGCATAGCACTTTTATCATAAAAAGACATAAAAACGCAAATAGCACGATGAGCTTTTCCCATTTTGGGATAAGCACTTGTCATAATAACAAACGCAGCACTTTTCTCATAAATAAACATAAAACGTCAATAGCACAGTAAGCGTCCCGTTTTGGGCCAAGCCTCAAAATAGAATCCTACGAATTTTTCTATCAAAGACTCTCTATAAAAGTTAAAATCTCAAGGCTTGCCAAAGAGTTGATATATTTGATATCAAAAGACACACAGATGAGATTATATTTATCATCAAAATCATTTTTTAATTTTTTTTAGTTTGTAAACAACACAAATCAGTTTCTTGAATGTAAAAGTACAGCTAACCAGCTTCAGTGGCAGAGAGATTAATGATGTCATTTGATTGTGACATCATTGTCATCAATGACATCACAATGGTCTTCAGAACATTGTGATGTAGTTTCATATCACCGATATGACCAGTGGAAGTTTTGGATGATAAAACACAATAATATGGAGGACAGAGAACTGAGTCAACACAACATAAGCAGATGCATCAATTCTGCCAATAATAAAATTAATTCAAAATATTAAGATATCGTACATCCAATTAACAACAGAGTCAAGAAAGCCCATTAACTGTCTCACTCAGGAGCTTCCAAAGATAACAGGTAAACTTCCATAACAAGCTTATAGCCAGCACATCATTTCAAACACCTTACATCACTATGTATTATATACATAATGCTCAAAATCATAGTATTAAAATTAATATTAAGTATAAGATAAAGTTTCTACTCAATAAGTCGAACCTTGTAAGTAGACAAATGCAAACTATTGAAACCTAATAACATAGTTATACCACTGAACCCAGAGGACAGGTGTCGTGATATGAATACATAAACTATAATGATTGTTTCGAGTTTGATGCTGATGTAGCCCTGAGCATGATAAAAAACAAAGAGATCTTGTTTTCAGCACAGGTACTCCCTTTCAAGCAGACATTCATACAACGTAGTCGGAATAAAAGGAAGTTATTTACATGTTGGAGCATTCACTGTAGGGTATTTGCACTATTTCTAAGATCAGCATTGTCAGCACTATGACACAATCAGTCAGTACTACAACACAATCAGTCAGTACTATGACATAATCAGTCAGTACTATGACATAATCAGTCAGTACAATGACACAATCTGTCAGTGCAATGACACAATCAGTCAGTACTTTGACACAATCAGTCAGTACTATGGCACAATCAGTCAGTACTATGGCACAATCAGTACAATGACACAATCAGTCAGTACAATGGCACAATCAGTCAGTACAATGACAAAATCAGTCAGTACAATGACACAATCAGTCAGCACTATGACACAATCAGTCAGCACTATGACACAATCAGTCAGTGCAATGACACAATCAGTCAGTACAATGACACAATCAGTCAGTACTATGACACAATCAGTCAGTACTATGGCACAATCAGTCAGTACTATGGCACAATCAGTACAATGACACAATCAGTCAGTACTATGACACAATCAGTCAGTACAATGACACAATCAGTCAGTGCTATGACACAATCAGTCAGTACAATGACACAATCAGTCAGTGCTATGACACAGTACAATGACACAATTAGTCAGTACTGTGGCATTATCAGTCAGTACAATGACACAATCAGTCAGTACAATGACACAACATTCAACAAATAATCTTAGTTCTTATAGAAAGGTATACACTTAAATACAAGAGACTAGCGGAGCAATAAGGTCACTCAGTGATGGTGGGTCCCAGACCTGTACCTTGAAACAGGCCAGCTACATCAATCACATATCACATACCTTCTACTCTACCTGACATTACGTGATGAGGAGAGATTGAGCAGCATGTTTGGTACCTTCATTTGAATTGTTAGTTTTCGTCTTACCCGACATCCTGACAAACAGACAATGCAGTTAACAATAACAAAAAACCAGTAGGAGTTTACATTCACATTCAGTTTTTAAACAGATCAAGCCTCTATTTCTATAAACCAAAGTCTAGAAAATACACGACAACCATGTCTGATTTACACACACTGCACTAACTACTACGGACCTAGATTTGAAAGGGCATTAAACTGAAACATACTCTTCACTATGGCTACAAATATGGCCTCAAACTATTTCTTGATTATCTTTATGGTATAAATCTTGCTGCAGTATAAGTACCTATGAATTACTGACTGCATTATATAGTAAGCAACTTGATTCACAGTACTGTGATTATCCCATATCCCCCAAGCAGCCAAGGACGCTATCCTCTATGATGGTTCCTTCAAGGCAAAGCAGAGAGGCAGATAGAGTCTTTGGTAGAAGCAGGGTACACAGGACTAGCTGGGGTGTTAACTGCACGTCCACCCCTGTCAGGCACTCCAATGAGGTTCTGCAACAGAACGGACAAAGAATTCTAGTAACATATTTATGGCAGTCTGAGGGCGGTGTGGTAGCCTAGTGGTTTAAGCACTTGCTTGTCAAGCCAAAGCTGCTGGTTCGAATCCCCACAATGGCACAATATGTGAAGCCCATTTTCTGAGGTGATATTTCTGCAATCTCTTTAAGGTTGAATCAAAGGGAATTCCTCTTTGATATCATAGTGGGAGAGGTTAAAGGTTTCCTGTGAGGAATATAAAGAACAGAATTGGTTCATCTTTTGTTTGTTTATTTGTTTTCTAGTTTAACACCACACTAAGCAGTAATCCAGCTGTATAACAGTGCCAAGTAAATAAGATTGTCCAGACCAGACAATCCTGTGATCGATATTGTGAACAATCCACAACATGGGGGTACAATGACACACAATCAACCAAGTCACCATCCAACCGATCCCTGAAATGATCTTTTACGACCAGCATAAGTTGCTGGAGGCTAATCCTAAGCCCATGGGAGAAATATGTTAACAGCAGTACACACCAATCATTCCCAGGGTGCCTTAGTGGTACTCCACTGTCACAGCCTTCGTCTTGAGGTATTCATTGAGAGCCTCCTGACCTGCAACACACAGTGTCATAAGTAAATTGTCATGGAAGTCAGATACACAGTCTCTCAAATAATATACATTTGGAGACGATATGTAGAGATATTTGAGCTAAAGATATCCATGAAAACATGTGGGAGGAGTAGGCTATACTGTTGTTTTCATTATACACACATCTACTTTGTATCAGGACAGAACAACAGAATGATTTTGTTTGTTGTTTAACGCTACACTCTGCAATATTCCAGCTATATGATGGCGGTCGGTAACTGGACCAGACAATCCAGTAATTGACATCATGAGTATCGATCCATGTAATTGGGATACGATGATATGCATCAAGTCAGCGAGCGTGTCCACACGATGCCGTTAGTCACCTCTTACGACAAGCATAGTCGCCTTTTTATGGCAAACATGGGTTGCTGAAGACCTAATCTCTTGTCATATAAGTTGTTATAAAGGGTGAGTGAGTGAGTTGGGTTTTATGCTCTCAGTTAAATCATGGAATGTCAGCTTAATGTGAGAGGAAAAACGTAAGTGATGCAAGCATCAGATGTTTACTACTTTGGTGAAACACGCGATCATGGGTAAAGCGCTGAAAACCTAGTCAGATAATCAGGGTGACCCGGTATTCAAACCGTGATCACAGGTGTCTGGTGCGCCTAAGGGAAGCAACTCTGCACAGCAAACTGCAGAGACTTAGACCACTGGGACACCCGTGCCATGTCAGAAAGACAAGTTGAATTAAATGCCAAGTCACAGGGGTTTTACCATTGTGCCCAGCATGTAACAGTATATCTTTAATAGCTATAAAGTGAGCGTCGAAGGTGGTGGAAAAGCAGAATATTGTTAAAGAAGCATAATGACACTGGTGCCGTATATGTCTGCAGATAACCCGAATTTTAAGGACCAGAAAAATTATTCTGTAGACAGGGGTCGGCTTATCAACTGGATACGCTTTCATGATTGTATTTTTCAGATCATGATCTGTCAGAAACATCGCCTGAATGACGGTCCGATATATTACAACTTCCCGAAAGTTTGGATGTTGCCACAACTACAGCCATTGTTGTTATAAATGATCAATAAAGTTATTATTATACCCAATGTTGTCATTATTTAAAAAGTTATGCATGTTACTATTTCCGATCATAAGTTTTCAAATGAATGTTCAAGGTTTATCGTTCTTCATAAACTCCATGATCTTTACATATAACAATATAATCAACGAGTTTTGATATCAAAAGACACAAGGGTGAGATTTTATTTATCATCCAACATCATTCTTCCAACTTTTTCAATTAGTTGACAGTAATTAGCAGTGACTTCAGTGTAAAAAGTACTGCTAACAGCTTCAGTAGCAGAGCCATTAGTGATGTCATTTGATTGTGACGTCATGGTAACCAGTGACTTCACAACGGTCTGCAAAGCATTGTGATGTAATTTCATTGCAGCGATATCTACAGTGTAGATGATAAATAATATATAATCCACAGATGAAATCGCCAATAGCTATTACGTACATTTTGCAAATTTCATAAATTGATAGTGAACAAGTAATGCTGAACAGTCCCAACTCCTTCCCAAACTGCGACACCGTCATTACCTTCCTGCTCTTATTGCTGCAAACTTAACTTTCACAATACATTCTCACTATACAAATACCATGATAGTGGAAATGAAATAGAAACTAAAATAGAAAAACCAAAAATTTGATGGGGGAAGATTATTCGGCCGACTGTCATCTCAGTTTGTAAAGAAAATATCAGTCAGTTACAAGTTCAACTCCAGGCATGGTTGTAGGCTGCCAATCACAGTGAGGAGCTTTGACTGTCAGCAGCCATAGTATAGAGAGATGTACAAACGGGATATCACTGTGTGGAGCTTGATGTCTATGTGACCATAGGGCTAAAAGAGTTACTTCCCCTTAACTCACATTTAGAGAAAGGATTAGACATATGGATGAACAACTTCTTTTTACAATTAGGAGCGACGTTTTGGTGTAGGTTCTAACACCGTTAGCAAGCAAGTGATGTTTATCCACATATGGTAGCCTTACTTAGTACTTGAACTTCTAAATGCCCCTCAAAGAAGTTCACATTTGGTGACTACCAAGGAGTAATCAAATTGTACAATATTCATGTGTCTGAAAAGAAAGAAGGCAAGTTCTTCTTGAAAGAAGCATGCTCAATTTAGCAGCTATGACAAATCTGCAGAGTTACATTAACAAGATATTAGAGGGAACATATTACCCAAATCTTTCCCAAATCCAGACTGCTTGAATCCACCAAAGGGAGCGGCAACATCAGTCTTGTTGTAGGTGTTGACAAAGACAGTGCCCGCCTGGATGCTGTCAGCGACGTGAAGAGCCTTGTTAATGTCCCTGGTAAAGACGCCCGAAGCCAAGCCATACTCTGTGTCATTGGCGCGCCGGATCACGCCTTCTACGTCCCTGGAAGACGGATGAGTGAGTGAGTGAGTGAGCACAGGTTTGGTGCAAAGAAAACCAAGAAATACAAATCTGGGATTCAAAGCCATAACCATCGGTTTGAAGCACACCTCAGGGAAGATGGGGGACACTTCAATAAGGAATGTGGTATTGTTGGATACTCCCCAGGGAGCTGAGAACATAAAATATCAGAACGCATGAGGCTGGTATTGATATAGTCTGATACAGTGTATATTGATAACAACCCATCAGAAAACTTTGAAGTGTGTTTGATACACTTTACACTTATATGGTGTCGTATTAGGTTAGCAGAAAAATACATATATTTTTTTGCTAACCTAATATGACACCATATACGGCAACTAAAGACACCATAACAAATTTATTATGACGAAAAGTTTACACTATCTGGTATCCATATCACACATGTCATGTCAAAATGAAAACCTGACACATAACTTACAACCGTTGATGTTAATGGTCAAAGGGAGACTACTCTTCAAACCTCAGAGGCCAAACCTTGTTGATTATTGATAAAGATTACAGTTAAAATTAAGTCACGAACGTGATATAGACCAATAATAATGTCCTTGCACATCAAAATTAATTATATAAAACACAAAACAGTGTCAAATAACAAATTTCTGTACCAGAATTGTCATGTGAGGTGGGTGTTGGAAAATCCAAAATGGCTGTTACTGACAGTAAACAGTCTCATATTAGGTCAGTAACAACCATCTTGGATTTTTACGGTATATGGGTTCATATTGGGTTAGTAGTTCTGCTCTCTGATTGGTCAATCTCACTTTGAGGCATAATACTGATACTGAAACTGAAACTGATACTGACCCATCAGGAAAGGTGGAGATGATCATAATCGGGCCGAATGATTCTTCTTCAGCTACGAACATGTGATCTTCGACCCCCGTGAACACTGTCGGCTCCAGGAACAGGCCTGTAACATCACACAGTCACTCAACTTCAGTGTCCGGAATATTGCTGACAGTTTTGTAAATCAAAAACAGCACTGCCGTTACAAAAAAGTGAATCATTTAAGTTAATTTGCGATAAAACTCACATTTCTGGCAAACATGACGATGGGTCTGTAAATGACATTCCTCTTGCAAATTCAGATTATCTCAGAAAATATAATTTCATCTTTTTTGTCAGTGCTTAATTTCTACTCATTTTACGATCATATTTTGCCATTCAAGATTGTGTGAGGCAATACAGAACTGCCATTTTGTACTGTGTTGAAATCTACAAAAATATTGCTCAAACAAGTACCACACAACCCACCTGGCCCCTATAATCACCACACAAACCACCTGGCCCCTATAATCACCACACATCCCACCTGGCCCCTATCTCCACCACACAACCCACCTGGCCCCTATCTCCACCACACAACCCACCTGGCCCCTATCTCCACCACACAACCCACCTGGTCCCTATAATCACCACACAACCCACCTGGCCCCTATACTCACCACACAACCCACCTGGCCCCTATCTCCACCACACAACCCACCTGGCCCCTTTCTCCACTACACAACCCACCTGGCCCTACCTCCACCACACAACCCACCTGGCCCCTATCTCCACCACACAACCCACTTGGCCCCTATAATCATACACAACCCACCTGGCCCCTATAATCACCACACAACCCACTTGGCCCCTATAATCACCACACAACCCACCTGGCCCCTATCTCCACCACACAACCCACCTGGCCCCTATCTCCACCACACAACCCACCTGGCCCCTATCTCCACCACACAACCCACCTGGCCCCTATCTCCACCACACAACCCACTTGGCCCCTATAATCACCACACAACCCACTTGGCCCCTATAATCACCACACATCCCACATGGCCCCTTTCTCCATCACACAACCCACCTGGTCCCTATCTCCACCACACAACCCACCTGGCCCCTATCTCCACCACACAACCCACCTGGTCCCTATAATCACCACACAACCCACCTGGCCCCTATAATCACCACACAACCCACTTGGTCCCTATAATCACCACACAACCCACCTGGCCCCTATCTCCACCCACAACCCACCTGGTCCCTATCTCCACCACACAACCCACCTGGCCCCTATCTCCACCACACAACCCACCTGGTCCCTATAATCACCACACAACCCACCTGGCCCCTATAATCACCACACAACCCACTTGGCCCCTATAATCACCACACAACCCACCTGGCCCCTATCTCCACCACACAACCCACCTGGCCCCTATCTCCACCACACAACCCACCTGGCCCCTATCTCCACCACACAACCCACCTGGCCCCTATAATCACCACACAACCCACCTGGCCCCTATTTCCACCACACAACCCACTTGGCCCCTATAATCACCACACAACCCACCTGGCCCCTATCTCCACCACACAACCCACCTGGCCCCTATCTCCACCACACAACCCACCTGGCCCCTATAATCACCACACAACCCACCTGGCCCCTATAATCACCACACAACCCACCTGGCCCCTATCTCCACCACACAACCCACCTGGCCCCTATCTCCACCACACAACCCACCTGGCCCCTATCTCCACCACACAACCCACTTGGCCCCTATAATCACCACACAACCCACCTGGCCCCTATCTCCACCACACAACCCACTTGGCCCCTATAATCACCACACAACCCACCTGGCCCCTATCTCCACCACACAACCCACTTGGCCCCTATCTCCACCACACAACCCACTTGGTCCCTATAATCACCACACAACCCACCTGGTCCCTATAATCACCACACAACCCACTTGGCCCCTATAATCACCACACAACCCACCTGGCCCCTATCTCCACCACACAACCCACCTGGCCCCTATCTCCACCACACAACCCACCTGGCCCCTATCTCCACCACACAACCCACCTGGTAAATACAATCACCACAACCCACCTGGCCCCTATAATCACCACACAATCCATCTGGGCCCTATAATCACCACAAAATCCACCTGGGCCCTATAATCACCACACAACCCACCTGGCCCCTATAATCACCACACAACCCACCTGGCCCCTATCTCCACCACATAACCCACCTGGCCCCTATAATCACCACACAACCCACCTGGCCCCTATCTCCACCACACAACCCACCTGGTAAATACAATCACCACAACCCACCTGGCCCCTATAATCACCACACAATCCATCTGGGCCCTATAATCACCACACAACCCACCTGGCCCCTATAATCTCCACTACACAACCCACCTGGCCCCTATAATCTCCACCACACAACCCACCTGGCCTGTCTACTTGCTTGCCTCCGTACACCAGCTTGGCTCCTTCCTTCACACCATGGTCGATGTACTCCAGCAGCTTGTTGAAATGAGCCCGGTGATTCTGAGGCCCGTGGTCGGTAGATCTGTTCAGCGGGTCACCTATCTTCATCTTCTTGATTTCTTCAACCTGCCAACAGAAGATTACCTCAAGGTTTCTTTCTACAAAACAGTGAGTGTGAGTGAGTGAGTGGGGTTCAACCCCGCTTTCAACAGTTTTCCAGTTATATCACGGCATGTTAGCTTAATGTGGGAGGAAAGCCCCAAAGGGTACAGTTTTATACTTCTTTAAGCAGTAATCTAGCAATATCATCATTTGAACCCAATTTCAGTTATATCGCAGAGTGTTAGCTCAATGTAGGAGGATAGCACAAAATGATGCAGGTCTTAGATGTTTAATTACCACTTTGGTGAAACCCACAGGTATGGCACTTACAAACCTGGAAACATGTTCAGGGTGTGAACTGACCCCATGCTAATAGGTTTCTGGCATGTCCAAGAAACACAATCCTGCACAGCAAATTGAGGCTCCTTCGATGCCACCCGTACCCATGCCAACACTGAGGCTTTTCACACTGTACCCCTTTCAGGAATCAAACCAGGGTATTTTGCATGACAAGCCAACACTTCAACCACTGGGCCACCCCTGCCCTGTTTCAGAGATAGATTTGTGGTGTTCATGTTTTGTCCGAATACAAACTATTCCAGTGAATATAAAGTAAAATATTTATCTATCTGATGCAGCTTTGTCTCTCACTTAACATCTACAAGATATTTTCTGTATTGACAAGATCCTGCACCTTCAAACATATACATTTTTCAAGGCCGAACTTTATCGGCATCTTGCTCAACTCACCACTCGGCGGACATACTCGTCGTGTATGGACTCCTCTACAAACAGCCGCCCAGCTGCAATGCAGTTCTCTCCCTTGTTGAAGAACACGGAGCTCAATCCCTAGAAACATAAAAGTGTCCAATTATATAATAGCATAGCTTTGTAATGTAAAATGATCTTTCCAACTCATAAACACATCAGTAAGTATTAAACATATGATCAAAACACAATAAATTTAGTTTGCAAACTATCAATCAGAGAGGGCATGGAAAAAGCCTCAATACCATGCATGACATGCATTGGCTACCAGTCTAGGCAGCACTCCTGCAGTCAAGATTCCAGAGTCAGGACTATGCTGGGTTGGTTGGTTGGTTTGCTTGTTGTTTTACGCCGCACTCAGCAATATTCCAGCTATATGACGGCGGTCTGTAAATAATCGAGTCTGGACCAGACAATCCAGTGATTAATATTATGAGCATCGATCCACGCAATTGGGATAGATGGCATGCATCAACCAAGTCAGCGAGTCTGACCACCCGATCCCGTTAATCGTCTTTTACCACAAGCATAGTCACCTTTTACGGCAAGTATGGGTCGCTGAAGACCTATTCTACCCCGGAATCTTCACAGCTGACTATGCTGGGAGTTGATCCAACAGTAATAGTACTTGCAATGTGGTCAAGGTGGTTCAACAGACCAGTGGAACATGTTATGTTGTTTACCTTTGCCAAACAAGAGTCTTAGGGAGATGACATATCCGAGTTTGGACACTTATACCCCACTTTTGGTTCATTGCCATTGGATACGTTCAGTTCAGTGAAGAAAAATGCTGTTTAGTATTTTTCAGTCACAAGATTTTTCACCACTAGACTGATCTGTATTGCAATATTCATCAAGAAATATTCAACGGTTTTGGAGTTCTGCTTTGGATTTGAGCACTACCCTCATTTTTAGTGTAAATCCAACTTGTCATGAAAACAAACAAATGAATAAGAAAAACAAAAATCCCAAATCATCAAAAGGCACCAGGTCACCACTACAGTGATCTGTATAACAAGTTTCATAAAGAAATACTCAATGGTTTTGGAGCTCTGCTCCGGCAAGAAGCACCAGTATCATTTTTATTATAGTCAAACTTTTGTCATGAAAACATAACAATTTAAGCGTCATCAGGAGATGACACATCTCCCTGGTCTGGTGCAACTTCTGGTTTGTTGCCATTAGATACATTCAGTTCAGTGAAGAAACAAATAATGCTGTACACTATTTTTCAATATCACAAATCATCAAAAGGCACCAGATCACCATTAGACTCATCTGTATAGCAAGTTTCATCAAGAAGTATTCAATGGCGTTCTTCTCTGGAAACGAGCATTAGCCTCATTTTAAGTAAACATATTCATGAAAAAACCCAAAACAATTAAAATAAATATCCGAAACCATCAAAAGGGACCAGTTCATGACAAGACTGATCTGAATAGCAACTTTCAACAATAAATACTCAACGGCTCAGGAGTTCTGCTCCAGAAACGGCAAATGGATGGCGAACAGACGGACGTGCTGATCCCTATATCCCCCCATTTTTCAAACCCAGCAGATAAAAAGGAGAAGAAACAGGTGGAATAATGACAACACAAAGGTCTTAGAACAGTGAAATTGTTTAAAACAAATGTATAGTTATCTGACAGTCTATTGTCTGTGGGGCATGTGATATATTTTATACTGGTCTTGATATTGCAGACTTTCTGAAAAATCATATTTATCATCCCAAACTGGCTTCCACAGGAGGTAACGCTCTGGTGAGATCAAACCTCACAGTTTGACACTTTTATTGCCTTGTTATATTTGATATGCAAAGACACTCGGGTGAGATTCCCAACTTGTCCAACCCACACTCCAACAACTGTAAAAGGTGAGTATCCTACCATCCTGACGGCCTTGTCCATGTCACAGTCACTGAAGATGATGAGGGGGGACTTGCCTCCCAGCTCCAGGGACACCTTCTTGAGGTTCGCATTGGCACAACTGTCAACAGAGTCAAACTACAGTGGTATCTCTGTACGACCTGTCTTACATCAATGATGCACTTGCAGCAGGCATGTGGCCGTGGCTTTAGAAAATGTGTACGACAGCTTGGCATTCACAGTCAGTGAACAAAGAGTGATTGAATGTTGTGTTATGATGTTCATGAGGGAGCTATACAGCTATCTCACTGCAGCCAGCATGTAACAGATTCTGGACCAGACAAACCATTGGTTGATCCTAGTGGCATGGATACATACCATCATGGCACAAGGGAGGAATTCAATGAGTGGGTGAGTGAGTGAGTATGGTTTTATTCCGGTTTTAGCGGTTTAAGCCGCAGTATCATGGCAGGGGACACAATAAAAAGGGGCTTACCAGGAATTCAATGAGTGAGTGAGTGAGTGAGTGAGTGAGTGAGTGAGTGAGGTTTTATTCTAGTTTTAGCAGCAGTATCATGGTAGCATACACAAGAAAAAGGGGCTTACCAGGAATTCAATGAGTGAATGAGTGAGTGAGTGAGTATGGTTTTATTCCTGTTTTAGCAGCAGTATCATGGCAGGGAACACAAGAAAAAGGGGCTTGAATGTTGTACCCATGTTGAGTAACAAAGCAAGACCATCAGCTTGGTGAGTGAATGCCTTAACCACAAGGCTACCTCACAACTCTCCAGAATTCAATGAAGAGATCTAAACTCTACATGCATGTCTGCAAGTGTCTACAGTGTCCCAGCTCACCTGGCCATGATGGTCTTGCCGATGGGTGTGGATCCTGTGAAGCCAAGCTTCCTGACATCGGGATGGTCTGACAAGGCCTGCCCCACCTTGGAACCTAGGGGAGAAGAGTGAGTGAGTTGAGTTTAACACCAATTTGAGTCCAAATTTACTACCAACTCCCTATTACCTGACCCTACCCGGTACCCACTGTAGGTCTCAATAAACGAGTACAAAATATCTGATTGGGAATAGTTGGACCGTAGCCTTAGCAAAATGTATTTAGATACACGCACAAAACAATCTGGCCATGCACTAACTGAAGTTGCTTTATTCAAACATTTAGTGTAACCATGGAGTTGGACTGTAACCATGGAGTTCTTGATAATTATTGTCATTAAACAATATATCACGTGACTAACCATGGGTCCGGTTGGTCCTGTGGGTACCTGGGTCCTAGTAAGTACCCACCCGAGTACCCGAGTTACCTGTCCAAGTCCTAGTCATAACTATAATAACATGAATATGGAAATTCGTACCTAGTCATAACTATAGTAACATGAATATGGAAATTCGTACCTCATCATAACTATAGTAATTTGAATAGGGAAACTCGTACCTAGTCATAACTATAGTAACATGAACATGGAAACTCGTACCTAGTCATAACTATAGTAACATGAATATGGAAATTCGTACCTAGTCATAACTATAGTAACATGAACATGGAAACTCGTACCTAGTCATAACTATAGTAACATGAATATGGAAATTCGTACCTAGTCATAACTATAGTAACATGAACATGGAAACTCGTACCTAGTCATAACTATAGTAACATGAATATGGAAATTCGTACGTAGTCATAACTATAGTAACATGAATATGGAAACTCGTACCTAGTCATAACTATAGTAACATGAACATGGAAATTCGTACCTAGTCATAACTATAGTAACATGAATATGGAAATTTGTACCTAGTCATAACTATAGTAACATGAATATGGAAATTCGTACATAGTCATAACTATAGTAACATGAATATGGAAATTCGTACCTAGTCATAACTATAGTAACATGAATATGGAAATTCATACCTAGTCATAACTATAGTAACATGAATATGGAAATTCATACCTAGTCATAACTATAGTAACATGAATATGGAAACTGGTAGTTCCAATTTGGGAATTATTACTGACATTTGCTGCAGATTTGGGACCAAGTATTGGCCCCTGAGAAGGTCTAGATATATCCCTGCATTTGATCCTCTTTCAAATCTATTATTATAACCAGAATACCCTTACAATACTGTTACCATCTTCTACAAATTACAGAGAATAATACAAAATGATGCTTGGAACATTGCCTGCTCAATTTGAAGGAAACATACTCTCCTATTAGTGAGTGAGTGAGTGAGTGAGTGATGTGGGTTTAACACCGCTTTTAACAGTATTCCAGTTATATCACGGCGTGTCAGCTTAATGTGGGAGGAAAGCCCCAAGTGATGCAGGTCTCAAACGTTTACCACTTCGGTGAAACCCACAAGCACAGGTATGGTGCTGACAAACCTAGAAACATAATCTGGGCGAACCAGAATTCGAACCAACAATTATAGGTTTCTGGCGTGCCCAAGGGATGCAACTCTGCACAGCGAATCGCGGCGCCTTAGACGACTGGGCCACCCGTGCCCCCTACTCTCCTATTAACTATCAACGATAAACTATCTGTGATATTTGTGCACTGTTCCAGTTTTCAGTGCAGAAAAAGTCGTGACTTGTGTCATGATCAGATATATTGCTATATGCTGAGTTCGCTGTTGAGAGTTTGTTATATATGTACATTTTATATGATAATATAGAGGAGACAAATCATGGATTTTGTAACAGTTCGTTGTGTCTTAATCCGTGTTCATTATTTCTGTGTTCTACTGTATAAAGTACAGGGTGTATATTGCATGTTACTATATCATTCAGGTAATATTTTGTGTGACAGACAAAATATGATCCCATGACAACAGACACTGCTATGAAGCATTCATGATATTCTGTCACTAATCCAGTGTGTAAATACTTGTCTCATGAAAGATGTAAACTCTGATCATTCTGGAATCAGAGCTGTTGCACATCTTGTCATGACGCCATGTTGTTCCTCCACACCCAAACAGGGGCAGACAACTCTTGGTCTGACCTGTCCCCTTAAACGTGGAGGTTACAAATTTCTTGACATACAGCATTCAGCTGTCCTATCACTGACCCTATAACCTAAATGTTGGGGATTGCACCCTTCTACAAACGTAGTAACATGAATATGGAAATTCAAACCTAGTCATAACTATAGTAACATGAATATGGAAATTCGTACCTAGTCATAACTATAGTAACATGAATATGAATATTCATACTTAGACATAACTATAGTTACATGAATATGGATATTCATACTTAGTCATAACTATAGTAACATGAATATGGATATTCATACTTAGTCATAACTATAGTAACATGAATATGGATATTCATACTTAGTCATAACTATAGTAACATGAATATGGATATTCATACTTAGTCATAACTATAGTAACATGAATATGGAAATTCATACTTAGTCATAACTATAGTAACATGAATATGGAAATTTGTACCTAGTCATAACTATAGTAACATGAATATGGAAATTTGTACCTAGTCATAACTATAGTAACATGAATATGGAAATTTGTACCTAGTCATAACTATAGTAACATGAATATGGAAACTCGTACCTAGTCATAACTATAGTAACATGAATATGGAAATTCATACCTAGTCATAACTATAGTAACATGAATATGGAAATTCGTACCTAGTCACAACTATAGTAACATGAATATGGAAATTTGTACCTAGTCATAACTATAGTAACATGAATATGGCAATTCGTAATTCCAATTTGGGAATTATTACTGACATTTGCTGCAGATTTGGGACCAAGTATTGGCCCCTGAGAAGGTCTAGATATATCCCTGCATTTGATCCTCTTTCAAATCCAAAAAAATAACCAGAATAGCCTTACAATACCGTTACCATCTTCTACAAATTACAGAAAATGATGCTTGGAACATTGCCTGCTCATTTTGAAGGAAACATACTCTCCTATTAACTATCAACGGTAAACCACTGTGATATTTGGGCACTGTTCCAGTTTTCAGTGTAGAAAAAGGTGTGACTTGTCTCATATATTGCTATATGCTGAGTTCGCTGTGGAGAGTTTGTTATATATGTTTATTTTATATGATAATATAGAGAAGATAAATAGGGGATTTTGTAACAGTTTGTTGTGTCTGTATTCATGTTCATTATTTCTGTGTTCAACTGTATAAGGTACAGATATATAAATACATTGTATTATTATTAACCACTAGGCTACCCGACCGCCCCTGGCCCCTGAGAAGGTCTAGATAAATCACTGCATTTGATCCTCTTTCAAATCTATATATTGCATGTTACTAAATCATTCAGGTAATATTTTGTGTGACAGACAAAATATGATGCCATGACAACAGACACTGCTATGAAGCATCTGTGATATTTCTGTCACTAATCCAGTGTGTAAATACTTGTCTCATGAAAGATGTAAACTCTGATCATTCTGGAATCAGAGCTGTTGCACATCTTGTCATGACGCCATGTTGTTCCTCCACACCCAAACAGGGGCAGACAACTCTTGGTCTGACCTGTCCCCTTAAACGTGGAGGTTACGAATTTCTTGACATGCAGCATTCAGCTGTCCTATCACTGACCCTATAACCTAAATGTTGGGGATTGCACCCTTCTACAAAAGTAGTAACATGAATATGGAAATTCAAACCTAGTCATAACTATAGTAACATGAATATGGAAATTCATACTTAGTCATAACTATAGTAACATGAATATGGATATTCGTACCTAGTCATAACTATAGTAACATGAATATGGAAATTCATACTTAGTCATAACTATAGTAACATGAATATGGAAATTCATACCTAGTCATAACTATAGTAACATGAATATGGAAATTCGTACCTAGTCACAACTATAGTAACATGAATATGGAAATTCGTACCTAGTCACAACTATAGTAACATGAATATGGAAATTCATACCTAGTCATAACTATAGTAACATGAATATGGAAATTCGTACCTAGTCATAACTTAAGTAACATAAATATGGAAATTCGTACCTAGTCACAACTATAGTAACATGAATATGGAAATTCGTACGTAGTCACAACTATAGTAACATGAATATGGAAATTCATACCTAGTCACAACTATAGTAACATGAATATGGAAATTCATACCTAGTCATAACTATAGTAACATGAATATGGAAATTCGTACCTAGTCATAACTTAAGTAACATAAATATGGAAATTCGTACCTAGTCACAACTATAGTAACATGAATATGGAAATTCGTACGTAGTCACAACTATAGTAACATGAATATGGAAATTCGTACCTAGTCACAACTATAGTAACATGAATATGGAAATTCATACCTAGTCATAACTATAGTAACATGAATATGGAAATTCGTACCTAGTCATAACTTAAGTAACATAAATATGGAAATTCGTACCTAGTCATAACTATAGTAACATGAATATGGAAACTCGTAATTCCAATTTGGGAATTATTACTGACATTTGCTGCAGATTTGGGACCAAGTATTGGCCCCTGAGAAGGTCTAGATATATCCCTGCATTTGATCCTCTTTCAAATCCAAAATAATAACCAGAATACCCTTACAATACTGTTACCATCTTCTACAAATTACAGAAAATGATGCTTGGAACATTGCCTGCTCATTTTGAAGGAAACATACTCTCCTATTAACTATCAACGATAAACTATCTGTGATATTTGTGCACTGTTCCAGTTTTCAGTGTAGAAAAAGGTGTGACTTGTCTCATATATTGCTATATGCTGAGTTCGCTGTGGAGAGTTTGTTATATATGTTTATTTTATATGATAATATAGAGAAGATAAATAGGGGATTTTGTAACAGTTTGTTGTGTCTGTATTCATGTTCATTATTTCTGTGTTCAACTGTATAAGGTACAGATATATAAATACATTGTATTATTATTAACCACTAGGCTACCCGACCGCCCCTGGCCCCTGAGAAGGTCTAGATAAATCACTGCATTTGATCCTCTTTCAAATCTATATATTGCATGTTACTAAATCATTCAGGTAATATGTTGTGTGACAGACAAAATATGATCCCATGACAACAGACACTGCTATGAAGCATTTGTGATATTTCTCTCACTAGTCCAGTGTATAAATACTTGTCTCATGAAAGATGTAAACTCTGATCATTCTGGAATCAGAGCTGTTGCACATCTTGTCATGACGCCATGTTGTTCCTCCACACCCAAACAGGGGCAGACAACTCTTGGTCTGACCTGTCCCCTTAAACGTGGAGGTTACGAATTTCTTGACATGCAGCATTCAGCTTTCCTATCACTGACCCTATAACCTAAATGTTGGGGATTGCACCCTTCTACAAACCACAGTTCAGCCAAACATTTTTTAGCAACTTTGGGCAACTCCCGATACATCCAACATGTCTGCCCCCTCCTGATGTCCTGCTACAGAGGTGAACTGCATGTATAGATGCCTGAGACACACGACTGCACCCACCTGCACCAGGGATGATGTTGATGACTCCAGGAGGGAACCCCGCCTTTACCACCAGCTCCGCAAACTTCAGCGCTGTCAGAGGTGTCACCTGCAAATTTAACAATACTTTGATGTTCTCTGGTGACACACACCTGGGGAGCCCCTGTGAGGATTCCAGTGAAAAATACCGTATTCGACGCAATAAGCACCCCACTCTAATAAGCGCCCACGGCGACATTTGCTACTATATTGGCTAGTGAACAATCCCAAACTGGCATCCATTCCGATTGGTCAATGTACACAAGACATTTTTTCGCATATAATACGCTCTCATGTGTCATATGCACCCTTAATTATGGGCAATTAATTTTCGAAAAATATTTCTGTCGTATATAAACATTTCAGGCTGTCAGCATAAACCACGCAATTTATCTTTCAACTCTTGTTTTTTTTCACCAAAAAAATATTCTAATGAGAGCCCCCTATTTCTAATTTTGAGCGCCCTAGGCGCTTTTTACGTCGAATACGGTAGGTACCTAGTATCTCAAGCATGTCATCATGGCTGACTAAGGATGATTGGATGGTTAGCCTAGGTGTTTGCCCTATTGCACTAAACACTGTTCATCCCTTCTGTCACTGGATTACCAGGTCCAGACTTGATAAAAGCTACCAGGATATAGGTGGAATATTGCTGACTGTGGCATTGATCAAAATAGCTCACTGAGCTTGCAGTACATCTAATGACATCCATCTGTACAGCATAATTAATGACACTTACCTGTACAGCATTATTAAAACACTCACCTGTGCAGCAAACGTAATGACATTTACCTGTGCAGCAAACGTAATGACACTCACCTGTGCAGTATAATTAATAACACTTACCTGTGCAGCATAATTAATGACACTCACCCGTGCAGCATAATTAATGACATGCACCTGTGCAGCATAATTAATGACACTCACCTGTGAAGCATAATTAATGACACTCACCTGTGCAGTATAATTAATAACACTTACCTGTGCAGCATAATGAATGACACTCACCTGTGCAGTATTATTAAGAACACTTTCCTGTGCAGCATAATTAATGACACTCACCCATGCATTAATTACATGCACCTGTGATAGAAAAAAGTTAATGACGCTCACCTGCATGGGCAGTGCACCTAATGACATGCACCTGGCATTTATCTAATGAAGCTCACCTGGGCAGGTTTCAGCACCACTGTGTTCCCTGCAGCTAGACAGGCAGCCATCTTCCATGCCAGCATCATCAGGGGGTAGTTCCACGGCACCACAATGCCACACACACTGTACACAAAGTCAGACAGTGAGTGAGTGAGTGAATGAATGAGGTTTTAGAAACATACAACAGCATGGCACCAAGCATGAGACCCACACATAAATCCATGCCGAGACTCACAAACTCAGCATGGCTCCATGGGACATGGGAAAGTTGAGAAGAAATAGAGGTTTACATCGCGTTGAAGATTATTGCACTTATAGTGACATGTATGCATGTTGGTGTGGCTGCTTGTACTAGTCTAGACATTCCCTGGATTTATTGTGCAAGCCCACTGAGATACCATGCCATTGAGATACCATGCCACTGAGATACCATGCCCAACTCGGATGCAGTATACTGTCTCTGAGCCAAGCAGTCCTTGTTTTATCCCTTTAATGCCGTGCCAGGCAGGGAAACAACAAGTACCATCTCTTATCTTTAGGTATGATATGGCTGGGGATCGAACCCCCGACCTTGAGCTCTCCTGGCAGAGACTTTATCCAGTAGACCATGAAGACAGTCAGACATGGGTAAGAATTGATCCTCAGCCATTTATAACTCCATAAATGCATAAAACATTTATCAACAATAATCACTTCACAGACTGCTTTATTAATAAAAAACCCAAAGAAACTGTAGACAACAATACAAAATAAGTGATATCATTCAACACAAAATTGCGACACAAGCCGCCTATTCCATTATCAGTCAATTAGGAAACAGTAGTCAGGTAATGGATGTGACCTAAAAAAACAACATTCTGTTTACGGAAACAAACACCTAAAACATTGCTAGGTTAGCCAATCAAATCCAAACTATCATTTGTAATTGTATTTCTAGTGTTGTACAAGGTCAACTCACCCAATGGGCTCCCTCTTGGTGTAGGTGAGATTCTTGCTGGGTCGGGCGTGGTTGATTGGGATCGTGAGGCCCTGGGGGATACGACACAGTTTCATGTGCAGCTGACACAGGTCATACATGCAGCTCTGTTAGAAGCGACCATTATTGTGGCCAAATGCGACTTTAATCTATAATTGGAGACCTACATTTATCTATTGCTCGCCACTTGGCAACCTAAAAGTCAACAGAGCTGGTGACAATATCTGTTTAAGATATCTGCTGGCTCCTAAAAAATTAGGTTTAGCTCCTAAAATATTCATGTTGGGAGACGCCTGGCTCCCAAACCCAAAAACAAACAAACAGAGGATTGACATGCAATGGCCAACCATGGCGCAGGATAGGCAGTCAGTCATACTCTTACAGCAGAATATAAAGTCTATCGAAAACGTGTATTTTATATATTTGTTTATATATTATAATGTTATAAATGAGATAAATTCAAATAATGTCATAACAGTAACATTAAATAACATGATTCATTGCTGTTCATGAAACTGCACTAATGATAATCATATCTGTGTTATGTTGTCAAGTAAATATATTCGTTTGTTATTTAAGTAATTATTTAACACTGCACTCAGCATTATTCCAGACATATGACAGCAGTCAGTAAATAATCAAGTCTGACCAGACAATCGTGTGATATTGTGAGCAAAGGCCCACACAATCGAGGCATGTTAACACACTACCATCCAAGTCCCTGAGTCTAACCACCCGATCCATTAATTAACCTCATACAACAAACATAGGTTGCTAGAGACCTTGTCTAACCTGACCTCCGCACATGGTTTTCTATTTGAAAATATCCCTATTAACAGTACTAATTATAGAATGGTGCCTTAATAAGTTGTCTACAAGCCCCACCTATGTTTAAACATGCTAAGTTTACTTTTACATTAGAACATGGATATAACGAACTACAAGGGATCTGAGACATCAGTATTGCCCGGCATAAGAGCATGTGCAAGTGAACTGACACCTTGCCACAATCTCGTGAAATTTATGTTTGTCTTACAGTGAAGATTATTCCAGTAACAGGTAAGATTAACAAGTTCAACACGTCTGATTGTGTTGATTCGCTGTGATTGTGTTGATTCACCGCTGATTTCGCTTAGCAAATTGTCAATGACATTTGACACTGAGTGAGATTTATCAGTTTGCATTAATCGTCACTAATTACTGGCATTTGGGCTTGTCGAAGATCAGATATTTGTTCGCTATACATTAGTTCGCTGTAGAGAGTTTGTTATATATGTTCATTTTATATGATAATATAGAAGAGATAAATCGGGGATTTTGTAACAGTTCGTTGTGTCCGTTTGTCTGCTCCATCCGTGTTCATTATATTTGTGCTCTACTGAATAAGGTACAGGGCGTATATTGCATGTTACTTAAATCATTCAGGTGATAAAGTTTTGTGCGACATGACAACAGAGACAGCTATGAAACATTCATGATATTTCTGTCCCTTGTCCGGTGTGTTAATGAAATGACTTGTCTCATGAAAGATTTAAACTCTGATCATTCTGGAATCAGAGCTGTTGCACATCTTGTCATGACGCCATGTTGTTCCTCCACACCCTACAGGGGCAGACAACTCTTGGTCTGACCTGTCCCCTTAAATGTGGAGGTTACGTATCATGCATGCACGCACACTTTTCAACACATAGCTTACCTCAGAACCTGACCCTGTATTTAACTATATATCAAACACATATCTTCAATATTGATTCATAATGGATTCTTGATAAAAGAAATCTCATCTTTATTTATACTATAGCTATACCACTATTGTCCCTTATTCCACTAGAGCATATGAATAGAGAAGTACTGCAATGCTATAGAATGGACATCCAACCAGGCAGGAACCAGGTATGTGGTAAATACTCAGTTTTGATTGGTCAATCAGAGGTAACAAATCACGATAAACCCTGTCTGTTTGAAACTGAAGATTTGATGTCCGCATCATCACAGCAGCTGATATATTTAGAATAGTACTTCCTTTGCAGTCATTGTCGGTTGGCATATTTCAATAATTTATGTACACTTACAGGCTTCGAAATGCAAAGTTGCTGTCACTACAATATTCAAAGGATGTGTGGCAATATTTTCATGCAGGGAACCTAGTCAACAGAGAGCTTGCTATTTGGTGCTTTTCTTTGTACGACGGTGACATCATAACTTTTGCGCCACCATGAGTGATATGACGCTATGATAGTGTTGGGCATTGTAGAACGAAATCTTTGCAAGGCTTGCTTAGTTTTCTTTAGGGGTGCCCACCTTGTGTTAGCTTACAAAGTTGGCGTGCTACATACTTTCAGTGCCAGTCATAAGTTTGTGTGAAGTATTATGGTGTAAACAAACTGCTTGAGCATATAGAGTACCATATTTTGTTTACAGGCTGTTGTCGGTGATTCCATAAATTCTGGTCGATAACGCACTCAAAACACTGGACTCAACCAATGCCGCTTCACTCAGTATATTTGCTAACACCAAAGAGTTCGAGTTTTATTCAGTCATGGTAGAATGGAGATAAACATACTGTGTTTTCAATGTAGAGCTAGGTTACCTGTAGATTTAACTGCGGTAAATTGAATTTGGAACTAAACGTGTAGCATGAGGTTTCAAATGTTAAATTTAACCCTGTTAAATCTACAGGTAACCTAGCATTATGTTTATCTCCTAATTAACGGCACTTAGTCACCTGGCTCTCCTGAACAAGAAACAAGAGAAGACAGGGACACTATCACTTATTGAGTTAACTCATAAATATCAATTTTATTATTTTATTCTTTATAAAGTCCATAAGTCAACTCTGTCTTTACTGATACTACAGCATCAACAGCAAGATACAGTCTACAGAGGAACCATTTTGCACACTTTTGAATGGACCCGTAAAGCGATTCTACTGTTAATCAATGGCCGTCTAGGGAACGTACATTACTACATAGCGAAAAGTACCTGGGGTAAAATAGAACTTTAAACAACAACAATGGCTTTCAGACACTAGCATCCTTGTATACATTCACATACAAGCATAGGTATGGTGCTCAAAGGATCATTTAGATCAGGGAGAATCAGACACTGGGAGCTATGATCTGCAAGTGAATCCTGGCATGGCTACGTTCATAGACTGATATACCGTATTCAACGTAATAAGCGCCCAGGCCGCTCTCAAAATTAGAAACAGGGGGCTCTTATTAGAATATTATTTTAGTGAAAAAACCAGTTGAAAGATCGTAAATTTCGTGGTTAATGCTGACAGCCTGAAATGTTTATATACGACAGATATATTTTTCCAGAATTTAATTGCCCATAATTAAGGGTGCAAATTACACACAAGTATGTATTATACACGAATAAATAAGTCTTGTGTAACTTGATCAATCGGAAGGGGTGCTAATTGGGATTGTTCACTAGCCAATATATTCACAAATTAGCCATGGGCGCTTATTAGTGCGGGGCGTTCATTACGTCGAATACGGTAACACATAATCCATTCCCAACATGATTTTTTAATTAATGGGGAGACCTGTGAAGATTCCAGGGTAGAATAGGTCTTCAGCAACCCAAACTTGCCGTAAAAGGTGACTGTGCTTGTCGTAAAGGCAGGAAACAGGATCGGGTGGTCAGGTTCCCTGACTTGGTTGATACATGTCATCGATCCCAATTGCGTGGATCGATGCTCATGATGTCAATCAGTGGATTGTCTGGTCCAGACTCGATTATTTACAGGCCGCCGTCATATAGCTGGAATATTGCTGAGTGTGGCGTTAAACCACAAACAAACAAAAAAGTAATTGGCAGGTCGGGTTGCCTTGTGGTTAAAGCGTTCACTCGTCACCCGGAAGACCCTGGTTCAATTCCAAACATGGGTTCAATGTGTGAAGTTTATTTCTGGCGTCCCCTGACATGATAATGTTGGAATAATACTAAAAGTGGCAAAAAAACAAACTTACTCATTCACTCACTTATGCTAAAGTCAACAATTTCTGCGGGAGTTTTACCTGAATCTTGTCACACCATCCAGCGAAGTACCGGAATGTCTGAATGGACATGCCCACGTGGGTCTTCAGCGCCAGCGTGTACACAGCCCCCGAGTCAATACTCTCGATAGTGGCCAGCTCTTCCTCATGCTGTTCCATCAAGTCCGCCAGTCTGAAACACGGGGACATCGCTGATCATGCATACCAACAAACTCAGAGTAACAAACATTTACCTCGGTGTCACACGCCATGCCTATGTTGACATCAATATTACACTGGTTTGTGGAGGAATACTGTTTTACAATGAAGTCAACAATATTACAGCCACATCAAGTGGCTTGTGAGTAATCCTGTTTGGTACACACAATGTAGTAGTTGATAGAATGAGTCTTATACATGGGGTCGACTTATACACTGCGATATACGGTATCTATCCTTTCTGTCTTGGTATTGCCACATATAGCCGAGTTTGTTTGTTTGTTTGTTGTTGTCATGCCAAAGTTAGCAATATTTCAGCTACATGATGTCTCCCTGGCCAGACAAACCAGTGATTGATATTATGAGCAATGACCCATACCAATTCCAAATCAACAAGCGTAGGTTGCTGGGGTCCTATACTCTAACCTGGAATCCTCACAGGGCTATCCTAAGTGATTTGGTGTAATATTCCATACCGATCACCAGGTCGCACAAAGCAATCTTAGCGCTACGACTATCATAAGCCTATGTTAAAGCATGTTGGTTGGTTGGTTGGTTTGTTGTTTAACGCCGCATTCAGCAATATTCTAGCTACATGACGGTGGTCTGTAAATAATCGAGTCTGGACCAGACAATCCAGTGATTAATATCATGAGCATCGATCCACGCAATTGGGATTGATGACATGCACCAACCAAGTCAGCGACCCTGACCACCCGATCCCGTTAGTCGTCTCTTACGACAAGCATAGTCGCCTTTTACGGCAAGCATGGGTAGCTGAAGACCTATTCTACCCCGGATCTTCACAGGTATAAAGCATGTTAAATCGCTAAGATTGTTTTGTGCAAGAGGGCCCTGATCTAATACAAATGTACAAGCATAGGTTGCTTGAGGCCTACATTCCAACTCAGTATCCCCATAGTGAACAAACAGCTAAGAGTTCTCCATTTGTACTTGGCCTGACACTGTAACCACCCATTGTAACATGCTGCAACAACCCTGTTGTTACAGACTTATCATGTTTAGTTGGTTTTTTCTTTCTGTGTACATGTAATCTTAGCGACATAACAATACCCAGAAAGCACCTGTTTTCAGTAACCCACATTGCCCTGCCGAACAGCCTCCTCAAGGTACAAGTTGACATCCATACGTGAGCCCTATCTTCATTGACACTACAGCATCTAAACACCACTAAACATGCTAAGAGATACTGTGTGCACACTCTACTGATCTCACCGGTACATGAGAGTCCCGCGATCCCGAGCATTCATCCTGCCCCATGGTCCCTCCTCAAATGCTTCCTGGAACAGAGACATTATCATTATCATGCCCTATATCTAATGACACATGCCATATATTCAATGCTCTATAATCTATACTAAATATTCTAAGCAACATGTTCAATGCCCAGTGCTCTATATTCTATGCCCAATGCTCTATATTCTCTGACCCATGCTCCATAGTCTATGCCCCATGCTCTATATTTTCTGCCCAGTGCTCTATATTCTCTGCCCAATGCTCCATAATCTCTGCCCAATGCTCCATAATCTCTGCCCAATGCTCTATAATCTCTGCCCAATGCTGTATAATCTCTGCCCAGTGCTCTATATTCTCTGCCCAGTGCTCTATAATCTCTGCCCAGTGCTCTATAATCTCTGCCCAGTGCTCTATAATCTCTGCCCAGTGCTCTATATTCTATGCCCTATGCTCTATAATCTCTGCCCAGTGCTCTATATTCTCTGCCCAGTGCTCTATAATCTCTGCCCAGTGCTCTATAATCTCTGCCCAGTGCTCTATATTCTATGCCCTATGCTCTATAATCTCTGCCCAGTGCTCTATAATCTCTGCCCAGTGCTCTATAATCTCTGCCCTATGCTCCATATTATATGCCCTATGCTCCATATTCTATGCCCTATGCTCTATATTCTATGCCCAATGCTCCAAGTTCTATGCCCTACCTTTGCCGCCTCCACTGCTCTGTTGACATCTTCCTTGGTAGACAGCGACACATCACATATCACCTGCAACAGGTACAAGTCACAACATACAGGCAAGATTCCAACGAAGGCTCCCTCTGCATGACTGGCTACAATAAGAAAAAACCTGTCCCTGCAAACTATCCCCCAAATGAGGCCCGTCATGCAGGGAGATACAGCAGCTACCATGTCTGCATAATCATCTCAACTGACTTTATTCTTAAAAAAATATATAATTAAAAAATTATGTACCCAACTTCATAACTTGGTCAAGTTACCCAAAACATATTGTTACATTTTGCTTCACTTTTCTGATGATTTCCAAGGTCACATTCAGTGACAAGCCTGCATTGAGTGAGTGAGTGAGTGGTAGTTTACACAATATTTGATGATATTATAACTGAAAGGCAGTATTTATAGAGGAAAAGATACAGTAGTTGGTACTGCAAGCTACTTGTTGGTAGTGACTGGTAAATTATGGCTTCCAGTAGAAATTTGGTGTACTAGTAAGCATTATTGCCCCTGCAGCATACATTAACTCAGTTAGCCTTAATGGTGAAAAAGTACCACAAGAAATAATAAGGGCAAAAGTGAGCGTGGCTCTCTAATACCCCCGACCCGCCTAGTGTGTCAGTAGTTTCAAATTAAATAGCTAGGATAGGGTTAGGGTTTGAAAAATTCATAAAAAAATGGAAAGTTAATAAAAACAATTTTTTCCTTTTGACTGCACCCCTTCATATGACACAGATTATATGTACTAAGTTTGAGATGAATCCACTGGATAGTTTAAGAGAAATCACGCAAACAAAGTTTTCGGACGGACAGACGGACGGACCGAGGGATGGAACCTTGGTATAACTATATACCCCCGACCTAAAAGGGCAGGGGTATGATTAATGTGTGAAATGCAAGTTTGTTTGTTTGTTGTTTAATGCCACATTCCAGCTATATGATGGCGGTGTGTAAATAATCGAGCCAGTGATTGATATTATGAGCACGGTATAAATATGATGCCCTACTGAGGATGGTGCTCCCTTTATCAAGACATGAAAGAAACCACTGGTTCACACTGCACAAGTTTTGACACATTCTGAGATTTCAATGAAACTGACTAAAACGCTGATACAAACAGTATTCAATCACAAAGTATCAGGTCAAACTTTCAAGTGAGACAAGTTTACTAGGGCTGGGTCGAGTCTTTGAGGCGACCCTACCCAGGTCCCCCCTGTAGGTCTCAAGAGTTGGGTACAAAATATCCGAATGGGAATCGTTTGACCGCAGCCCTGGCAAAATGTATTTAGATACACATGTTATTTAACAATACGTCACGTGACTAACCATGGGTCTGGGTAGTCCTGTGGGTACCCAGGTCCTACTCAGTACCCACCCGATCCGAGTACCTGAGTTACCTGTCGCAGCCCTAATTACCAGACTCTGCACTCTAAGATGTGTGATCATTATCACTGACATTCAATCTCATACCCGTAGAGCATCACCTGAGGGAGCACTTCAAAAAGTGATGATAAAAAAACTCAATGTCAAATTTTGAGACACCCCAAAAAACACATCTGAAATGTAACTGTGAAAATGGCAACATCTTCAAGAGATTTTCAGAATGAAAACACACAGAAATCATAGTAGCTCTGACTAAGGTATATGAGTGAGTGAGTGTGTGGATTTAACGCCGCTTTAAACAGTATTCCAGTTATATCGCGGCGTGACAGCTTAATGTGGGAGGAAAGCCCCAAGTGATGCAGGTCTCAGACGTTTACCACTTCCGTGAAACCCACGAGCACAGGTATGGTGCAGACAAACCTAGAAACATAATTGGGGCGAACCAGGATTGGAACTCACAATCATAGGTTTCTGATGTGCCCAAGGGACGCAACTCTGCACAGCGAATCGCGGCGTCTTAGACGACTGGGCCACCCGTACCCCCCTAAGGTATATGAAAACATAGTGCAACAGAAGTGGTGGCCCAAAACACCATGCAAGGTTTTTGATCTCGTCTGACAGTTCATCTATTCTGAGGATAGTGATGATGACCTCCCCTGAATCTCTAGGAGGTAAATCTGAAATATGGCCCACAACTCACAGACTCATCAGCTGGGTTGATGGATTTGTAGGTCTGGCCATCAGAAGAGTTGAGGAACTCATTGTCTATGAACACCTGGTGCGGCATGCATATATCCATGTTGTTGATGTGTTTCTCCACCTGAAGGAAAAACATTCACTTGAAAAAACTGGTAATAGAGCGAAAGGGAAAGGAACATTTGTCTTCAACATTTGTCTTCATTCTATTACAGATCACTAATTGTGAGTGAGTGAGTGAGTGAGTGAGTGAGTGAGTGAGTGAGTGAGTGAGTGAGTGAGTGAGTGAGTGAGTGAGTGAGTGAGTGAGTGAGTCCCTAGTCAGCAATATTCCAGTTTATTAAGACTGAGCCAGACAATCCAGTTTTAGATATAAGGGCAATCAAACAAGTCACAGCCTGACCACACTTTCAATTATAGCCTCATACGACTGGTATAGGTTGATAGGGGCCAATTCTAACCCCAAATCTCCACAGGATCAAAGTGAGTGTGTGAGTGAGTGAATATGGTTTTACTCCACTTTAAGCAATATTCCAGCAATATCACAGAGGAGGACACCAGAAATGGGTTTCACTCATTGTACCCATTGTGGGGAATCGTACCTGGGCTTTCCAGAGGAGTGAATACTTTAACCACTAGGCTACCAAAGTGAGTGAGTGAATATGGTTTTACGCCGCTTTTAGCAATATTCCAGCAATATCACGGCGGGGGACACCAGAAATGGGCTTCACGCATTGTACCCATGTCGGGATTCGAATCAGGGTCTTCGGCATGACGAGCAAACGCTTTAACCACTAGGCTACCAAAGAGTAAGGCAATGCCACCTACTGCATCAAAGGTGAAGGGTTCCTTGTCCTCAATGCCTCGTCCTCGCTTGATGACGCAGGTGGTGAAGTCATCGAACACAGTGTTCATGTAGACGTCCTCAGGCAGGAGCCGGATGTCATTACACTGCTCCCGAACCTCCTCCACTAGCCTGCATCACGTACAACATGGGAGTGAGTGAGTCAGTCAGTCAGTTTTGTCACAGTTGTCAGATTGTTGTGGGAGGAATGCCAGAAGTCATGCAAGTCCTTAGAAGTTTACCATGAGTACAGGTATGGTGATGACAAGCCTAGACAAATATTCTGAGAAAAACGGTTCTTTATGCCTAAAACTTAAAGACTTGATCACCAGTGTCCCAAGCAATATACATGATACATACCTTACTTACATATCATGTAAAACATAATAGTCCTTCATCTTGTATGCTGACATACAATGCAAACCTCACTCACATAGGACACATAACTCCATAGGTCACCGTGCATGCTGATACATGATATAAAAGCCAATAGCTCACTGTCTATTATGATATATAAGATTTATAACTGATTTCAGCGGTTATGATTTGGGAGGGGGAAATTAGAAACTAGGTGAATAGCTAAACTTTTAAAGGCAGTTTTTAAACTTGATAACATGCTCATCATTTTACGATGTATTCAAAAATGTCATCTATAGTTGTTTTCGAGAAAACGAGGGTCATCAAATTAACTATCGATGCTGATTTTCAAACTTTATTCACACATATGAATTTAAATCTGTTCCACATGTCTAAATGATCAAACGAGAGCAATAGGTCTGCAAAATAAAGTTTTTGAAGTTGATCACTGTAATAATTCTTTCATGTTTGTCATTTAAATATACTAAAATTAATTCAATATATGATTCTCACCTGACTACATCCATGGAGCCGGCTCCAGACTTGAAGAAATCTGTTTGGTCCTCAATGTCAATGTTTAGGATACCATTCCACACACCCTACACAAGACAAAACCAGTGATTGATATTATAAGCACCGATCTACGCAATGCCGAGACAACCAAGTCAAGGAACCTGACCACCTGATTAATTCTAGTTGTCTCTTATAGTGGCCTTCCAACTAGAAGGCTTGTGCCAGTGTGCATTACAGCAATAAAATATAATACTCACAGACAAGTGAAGGAAGAAATACAAAATACAAATTACCAAAAAAATAATGATCCTTAAAACTTCTACACAAAAGGCCATGGTGCCATTGTACAAAACAACCTTACCGCTATGATCGTTGTAAATCTATGTTAAGGTATGGGAGTTGCGATCACCTTAACGCTAAGATCGCTTTGTAGAACAGCACCCATCTCTGGTCTGGATAAGTACAATAAGTACACATACTTCACATTCAAGGGGGACAACTCACCTTCAGGGCTGTGACCATGTTTATCTCTTCCTGGGTGAGCTCCAACTTTTCTGTAGACTTGTCATCCTTGCCGAACTTGGAGGCGGGGATCATTTTGCCACTCTCCAGTTGTACTTGGCTCACATTTACCTGAGACAAATGAGGAAACTCACCAACAAGCTACACATTCCCCGCCACATAGTTCTCTCTACGTCAGTCCCTAAACTCAGTCAGAAATGGTCCCTAGGGGTGGTTGGGCAGTCTAGTGATAAGACCGTTTGCCTGTCACTCCAAAGAGTGAGTGAGTGAGTGAGTATAGTTTAACGCCGCTTTTAGCAATATTCCAGCAATATCGCGGCGGGGGACACCAGAAATGGGCTTCACACATTGTACCCATGTCGGGAATCGAGCCCGGGTCTTCGGCATCAAGAGCGAACGCTTTAACCACTAGGCTACCGACCACCCCAGCACTCCAAAAGACGGGTTCGAGTTCCACGAGGGTAAAATGTGTGAAGCCCATTTCCGCGGTCCTCCGGCAAAATATAGATGTTTGGCGTGACAAGCAAACGCTTCAACTAATAGGCTACCTAAGTAGAAATTTTCACATGCCATAGTGTTATACTATACATGACCACCAGACAACTAGAGCTGGCTAAAAGATCAATAATCAAAATTATCTTTGACAGAAAGAAGTATTAACGATTATCACTATGAAATTGTTGTCACTGATAATAACTTACATAAACTATTGTCATGAAATAAAGTTTACATTTACCGAAACAGTCTTGTTATTGTCAATCATGTCAATTGTCGAAGACAGGAAGCAACTATTTTTGTTAATCTCAAATGTCCATTCTTTAGAGTAGCATATATACAGTGAGTCCCTGACATCCCTGACTACCACTAGTACACAATGAGATACGACACGACAGTAAATGTTAACAGACCATTTTGCCATCATTTCCGAAGAAAACCATTCCCTTCTTGTGGACAATGGCTGGCTTGCTGGCACCGGGTATGTCAACAGTTGTCCCCCTTGGCTCAATCTTCTTCCACAGGCGGGATCCGTACAGGGTCACTCGCTGCACAGAAAACAACTATCTGGTCACCAAAGGACTTGCAACAAAAATTAATGTTAAGCGTAGAAGGAACAAATTAACTATCATCTCTGAGTGTTTGGCATCAACACCGAAATGGGTGTATCATGTAAGAATATTTGTACTTCAACTCAGGGCACAGCTGGTAAAGAAATAAAAAAGAATCAAAGTTGGTTGGTTGGTTTGTTGTTTTACGCCACACTCATATAGGTGGAATATTTCTGTGTGCATTGTTAAACAATAAATAAATATTTGAATATTACTCAACTACAAAACAGTTTATTAATAATTCTTAATAAGTGTCAAAATATTTAAAAAGATTCCATGTTTTGGGGGTGAATGTCAGTATTATTCCAGCTGGATGACATCAGATAATCTAGCCTTGGCCAGACAAACCAGTTCTACTCCCAAAGTTTCAAGTTTGTTTTTTGTTTAACACTGCACTCAGCAATGTTCCAGCTATATGATGGCGGTCTGCAAATAATCAAGTCTGGACCAGACAATCCAGTCATTGATATCATGAGCATCGATGCACGTAATTGGGATCGATGACCTGTTTCAACAAAGTCAGCAAGCCTGACCACTCGATCCCGTTAGTTGCCTCTTACGACAAGCCTTTTACGGCAAGCATGGGTTGCTGAAGACCTATTCTACCCCGGATCTTCACGCTTTGAAACAGAATTGTAAACAAAGCAGACATCTGATTGGCTGAAAACTCCACAAATCCTTTGTCTTGATTGGACAGTCAAACTTCACACAAGACTCATCTGGTGTGACCTCTGATTGAGGATTTGTCAGATTGTGACCAAGAGAGATTGACTCAGCATAAAGGATTTGATTTTAATGAAATTGAAGGAGGAGGTTACCTCGCCATTGATGGTCGTCCAGGCACCGGGGACCTTGTCGTTACCACGGACGTAGTTGTGTATAGCTTCAGCTGACTGGTCCATGTTTACCTACAAGGGAGCATTATACCTACATAGTACCCAGTATACCTCTTGTTTTTTTGTTTGTTGTTTACTCAGCAATATTCCAGCTATATTCCAGAAGGCGGTCTGTCAATAATCGAGTCTGGAACAGACAGTCCAGTGACTGACATCATGAGCATCGATACACGCAATTGAGATACGATGACATGCATCAACCAAGTCAGCGAGCATTACCACCCGATCTCGTTAGTCGCCTCTTACGACATTATACCTAAACACATCCCATTATATATAAACAGAACCCATTACACATATATATGTATACCATTACACATCAATATTACTCATTAAATTTACCAACCTTTATACATAAATACACAAAAACACCACCCATTATACACCAATTATACACATGCTACTATGGTGAAAACAGATTATCATGATGACTTGTCTCGACCGTGCACAGAGCACTAGTAACAAGTTAAAGGAACAGTATGTCGATGGTTCTGTGTGTTTGAAAATCATGCATGAAATAATGTTTGAGGGTGACGTCACATGTCCGATTCAATTCCCAAAACGAAACAACAGAACTCCGCACAGTAAATCCGACAACGCAAGAGTAAATTAGCTTCAGTCTTGCTTTTCAAAAACTGGAGCAGAAACGGAATAAGGCGAGCAGACAAACAAAGCTTCAAAACGTCCTGTCCTTTTATGCAACGTTGGTTGCGGAGAGAAGTGAGCGTATTCAGCAAGCATGGCTCCTGAGTTACTAGGGCTTCAGTCCAGCCCAACACTGAAACACATGTTACATGTGGTCTCCTTAGGCAAGCGACTTTGCTTGAAATATGCCTCTGTTCACCGAGCAGTGGATGGGTACCTGGTAGGATGAGATGGTAATGTGACTGTTAACCCAGCAGTGAATGGGTACCTGGTAGGATGAGATGGTAATGTGACTGTTAACCCAGCAGTGAATGGGTACCTGGTAGGATGAGATGGTAATGTGACTGTTAACCCAGCAGTGAATGGGTACCCGGTAGGATGAGATGGTAATGTGACTGTTAACCCAGCAGTGAATGGGTACCCGGTAGGATGAGATGGTAATGTGACTGTTAACCCAGCAGTAAATGGGTACCTGGTAGGATGAGATGGTAATGTGACTGTTAACCCAGCAGTGGATGGGTACCTGGTAGGATGAGATGGTAATGTGACTGTTAACCCAGCAGTGAATGGGTACCTGGTAGGATGAGATGGTAATGTGACTGTTAACCCAGCAGTGGATGGGTACCTGGTAGGATGAGATGGTAATGTGACTGTTAACCCAGCAGTGAATGGGTACCTGGTAGGATGAGATGGTAATGTGACTGTTAACCCAGCAGTGGATGGGTACCTGGTAGGATGAGATGGTAATGTGACTGTTAACTGAGCAGTGGATGGGTACCTGGTAGGATGAGATGGTAATGTGACTGTTAACCCAGCAGTGGATGGGTACCTGGTAGGATGAGATGGTAATGTGACTGTTAACCCAGCAGTGAATGGGTACCCGGTAGGATGAGATGGTAATGTGACTGTTAACCCAGCAGTGAATGGGTACCTGGTAGGATGAGATGGTAATGTGACTGTTAACCCAGCAGTGAGTGGGTACCTGGTAGGATGAGATGGTAATGTGACTGTTAACCCAGCAGTGAATGGGTACCTGGTAGGATGAGATGGTAATGTGACTGTTAACCCAGCAGTGAGTGGGTACCCGGTAGGATGAGATGGTAATGCTGACCGTTAACCTTCTAGTGCCTCATAAGGAAGCTTTAGTCGTATACTCCCCAGGAAGCTGAGAATGAAATTCGACTGCATACTGACTGATCCATTGTGCTTTAGGATGTGGATATTAAATATAACCCTACCTGCACTTTGTCTTTCTTGATGAGAGGGTCGTAGGTGGCGCCCTCTTCTGGCTGCGTTATCTTCGGGGCCTTCCCATTATCGATCATCCGAACAGCCTCACCCTTATCAGAAACAATCACAATAAAGCATCAGCTTACCCAAATACACAAAAAAACATGTTTATTAACATATACATTTATATAATTATTGAAATCAAAACAAACACAAGTACAGGAAATCTGCTGATGGACGCTAATCACTCACTCACTCACTCACTCATCTAACCACCATTTCCCCTTATTCACATGTAATGATATGATGATGCACAAGTGAGGTTACGCTTCATGGCCACCCGTATCTCATTTCAACTCTTCTATGAGTGAGTGAGAATGGTTTTACGCCGCTTATAGCAATGTTCCAGCAAAATCACACCATAAAGGGGTTCACACATTGTACCCATGTGGGGAATCGAACCCGGGTCTTTTTGGCATTACGAGCCAACACTTTAACCATAAGGCTACCACACCGGCCCCTTGGCTCTTATGACAAGCATGGGGTGATGGGGACCTCTTCTGACCACACAGGGTGGTATTTACTGTCAGTGTTTTTGAATGAAATAGATAATTGACTTGTGAAAAGTGCATTAGCACATGAATTTTAATCTAAAGACGGCTGGATTGTCAAACTTCCCAACAAGCACCTTGACACACAAGGATCACATTATCACAGCCAACATGACCTTGACACCTATCACTATCTATCAAAACCTTGACCCCTTCACCCACCATGGCCTTGACCCCCTCTGGGAAGAGAAAGCGGTTGTAGATGGAGTCAATGGTGTCGTTCTCCTCCACGTATGTACGTTTCTGCAGCAGGATGGGTCCAGTGTCAAGGCCATCGTCTGCCCAGAAGACGGTGAATCCAGCCCGCTTGTCACCCGACATCAGGGTCCTTAAAATCAAACAATATTCATTGATATTAACAGAACTGTTAAGAGTCATATTTAAACAATCATGAAATAGCAAAGCTTTGTCCAATCTGTGTATGTATCTGACAATTTACATTATCATTTATTTGTTTATTGCTTAACACCATACTTAGTAATGTTCCAGATTTATGGTGGTAGTCTGTAAATAATTGAGTCAGCCTGACCACCCAATCTATCATTCAACCCGTGAAGATCTGGGTGTAGAATAGGTCTTTAGCAACCCATGCTTGCCATAAAAGGCGACTATGCTTGTCGTAAGAGGCGACTAATGGGATCGGGTGGTCAGGCTCGCTGACTTGGTTAATGCATGTCATTGTATCCCAATTGGATCGATGCTCATGATGTCAATCACTGGATTGTATGGTCCAGGCTTTATTATTTACAGACTGCCGTCACATATCAGGAATATTGCTGAGTGTGGCGTTAAACAACAAACAGTGATAACATCAGTGATAACAGTGATAACATCATACACACCCTTAAATGCCAGAATCTACAACGACCATGAACTAGTCTGGGCTAGAAGGATTGTGCCAGTACTGACCGCCATCATACAGCTGGAATATTGCTGAGTGTGGCATTAAACAACAAACAAACAAACCCAATCCTTTTGGTCAGCCATTAGGTCAACTCTCATGACCAGCATAGGTTGCAGTGGACCTGTTGCGGGGGACCTATTGTAACCCAGCATCCCCTGAGGGGTTCAAGTTACAAACAAATACTTGACACACCAGTTGATGGCCGAAGCTCCACGATGCAGTGGGAGGATGGAGGGATGGTAGATGATGGACTGGTTCTTGGGGAACGTGATGACGTCCATGGGGATAAACTGTGAACAGAACGGCAGAACGTTGAGCTCCGCGCCCACCGACTTGTACTCTTCCAGAACCTCCGGGATGGCCTTCTTCTTTAACTGCCATCGCTTGTACTTGAACACAGGGATCCCGTCCTTCTCTGCCGCCAAGGCTGGGAACATGATGAGACATGGCGAGACAACTCTATATGCGAGAGGGGAACTGTATCTTATGCTGCAGTGTATCAATCTATATCAATCTATAACACAGCTGTCTGTTTACCTGACTGCTATACATAAAATAATTTAGGCCGAAATAATTCTCAGAATTTCATACAATCCATAAAAAATGTGAGACATTGTCTGTCAGCAGTGAGGCCATGTATAGGGCATATTAATCAAGTAAAGAAAAAAAGGCAACACACAGAGCGCTTAAGTGTAGATACTTTACCACAATAAAACTATGTGTGTCTGGTAGTGGCGCCACTAGGATGACAAATCTAATAATAAATCTACTGAATCTGAACCTACTAGGAGCATCTGGCTCCACCCCTAAATCTGAACCTACTAGGAGCATCTGGCTCCACCCCTGAATCTGAACCTACTAGGAGCGTCTGGCTCAACCCCTGTATCTGAACCTACCGAGGTCTGGCTCCACCCCTGAATCTGAACCTACTAGGAGCATCTGGCTGCACCCCTGAATCTGAACCTACCGAGGTCTGGCTCAACCCCTTAAAATGAACCTACCGAGGTCTGGCTCCACCCCTGAATCTGAACCTACAAGGAGCATCTGGCTCAACCCCTGTATCTGAACCTACCGAGGTCTGGCTCCACCCCTGAATCTGAACCTACTAGGAGCGTCTGGCTCAACCCCTGTATCTGAACCTACCGAGGTCTGGCTCCACCTGTAATCTGAACCTACTAGGAGCGTCTGGCTCAACCCCTGTATCTGAACCTACCGAGGTCTGGCTCCACCCCTGAATCTGAACCTACTAGAAGCATCTGGCTCCACCCCCGAATCTGAACCTACTAGGAGCATCTGGCTGCACCCCTGAATCTGAACCTACTGAGGTCTGGCTCCACCACTGAATCTGAACCTACTAGGAGCATCTGGCTCCACCCCTGAATCTGAACCTACCGAGGTCTGGCTCCACCCCTGAATCTGAACCTACTGAGGTCTGGCTCCACCCCTGAATCTGAACCTACTGAGGTCTGGCTCCACCCCTGAATCTGAACCTACTGAGGTCTGGCTCCACCCCTGAATCTGAACCTACTGAGGTCTGGCTCCACCCCCGAATCTGAACCTACCAAGGTCTGGCTCCACCCCTGAATCTGAACCTACTGAGGTCTGGCTCCACCCCTGAATCAGAACCTACCGAGGTCTGGCTCCACCACTGAATCTGAACCTACTGAGGTCTGGCTCCACCCCTGAATCTGAACCTACTGAGGTCTGGCTCCACCCCTGAATCTGAACCTACTGAGGTCTGGCTCCACCCCTGAATCTGAACCTACTGAGGTCTGGCTCCACCCCTGAATCTGAACCTACTGAGGTCTGGCTCCACCACTGAATCTGAACCTACTGAGGTCTGGCTCCACCCCTGAATCTGAACCTACTGAGGTCTGGCTCCACCCCTGAATCTGAACCTACTGAGGTCTGGCTCCACCCCTGAATCTGAACCTACCAAGGTCTGGCTCCACCCCTGAATCAGAACCTACTGAGGTCTGGCTCCACCCCTGAATCTGAACCTACCGAGGTCTGGCTCCACCCCTGAATCTGAACCTACTAGGAGCATCTGGCTCCACCCCTGAATCTGAACCTACTGAGGTCTGGCTCCACCCCCGAATCTGAACCTACCAAGGTCTGGCTCCACCCCTGAATCTGAACCTACTGAGGTCTGGCTCCACCCCTGAATCAGAACCTACCGAGGTCTGGCTCCACCCCTGAATCTGAACCTACTAGGAGCATCTGGCTCCACCACTGAATCTGAACATACTGAGGTCTGGCTCCACCCCCGAATCTGAACCTACCGAGGTCTGGCTCCACCACTGAATCTGAACCTACTGAGGTCTGGCTCTACCCCTGAATCTGAACCTACTGAGGTCTGGCTCCACCCCCGAATCTGAACCTACTGAGGTCTGGCTCCACCCCTGAATCTGAACCTACCAAGGTCTGGCTCCACCCCTGAATCTGAACCAACTGAGGTCTGGCTCCACCCCTGAATCAGAACCTACTGGGAGCATCTGGCTCCACCCCTGAATCTGAACCTACCGAGGTCTGGCTCCACCCCTGAATCTGAACCTACCGAGGTCTGGCTCCACCTGTAATCTGAACCTACTAGGAACATCTGGCTCCACCCCTGAATCTGAACCTACCGAGGTCTGGCTCCACCCCATCTCCCTGAATCTGATCCTACCAAGGTCTGGCTACACACCATCTCCCTGAATCTGAACCTACTGACAGGATCTCAACCAACCGAGAGGGTCTCAACCAACCGAAAGGGTCTCAACCTACCGAGAGGGTCTGGCTTCCCATTGACGTCTGGGACGGTGAAGACACCAACCACATGGTGTCCATCTTTCTGTAGCAGTCTAAAGACCTCCGCCCCGAACAGGGACTGACCAATCACAGCAATCTTCATCCTGCTAAGCACTTGCTGAAACATACAATAAAACACACTCACATCTAGACAGGATGTTGTGGGTGGGGAACACAATGTAGAAGGTACATGTAATTGAATTACGATGCACATCATGAGGAGAGGACAGACATATTATTCCAACTGCACTTAATCATTAAAGTTTTGGCATATTTCTTTTTACAGACAGCTGTTTTCTTCATTTCAGTGGATTAATCTAGTGACCAGGGCACCGTTCAACTTAGTGATCGTAGCGCTACGACAGTAGTACGTCTATGTTAAGTATGGGATTTAACTTCTTAGCGCCATAATCGCTTTGGGAAACAGAACCTAGAATAACACACAAAACCATACAAGATAGTGACACATTCAGCGTCAACACAACATTGGTCAAGATAGTAATATTTGTCTGTTTGTTTGTTGTTTAATGCCTCACTCCAGCTATGTGAAGCCGGTCTGTAAATAATCAAGTCTGGACCAGACAATCCAGTGATTGACATCATGATCATAGAATCCCATAATTGGGATTCTATGACATGCATCAACCCAATCCCTTTAGTCGCCTATTACGACAAGCATAGTCGCCTTTTACGGCAAGCATGGGTTGCTAAAGACTATTCTACCTCGGATCCTCACGATCCAAGATGGTAATGGAGGATGCTACAAGACTTGAGGTTACTTTCTGCGCTGCCCGAGGCAAGGGAGTTAACTGACTATAAGTCCAGTTTCAACCCTTGCCGAACTGGGCTGGAATTAGGGAGTTATATTTTGGCTGGACTAACGAGTCTATGCAAAGTCCAATCAAAATTGAGTAACAAAATCGACATCTGGTTCATTAACAACAGAGCTACCACCATGCAGATTTTGGTCGATAGCAGGATTTGCCAAGCATGTGTATTGTCAACTGGGCGTCGACAGATGGTTTCCAAAGCTTTCAAGATTTTGATTAAAGTGCTCAAGTGACTTGATGCATTTCGTGAGGTAAGACCTATTTCATTACAATAAAGATATTGATTATCAATCAAATCGTCTTGACTGGGGGCTGCCATTTTGTTAGAAACAAACAGTAGTAATATGCGAGGTGGAATCTGATAGTCAAAAGGATAGACATAGAAGGCACATAACTTGAAATTCCAGCCTAGTTCAGCAAGGGTGGAAACTGGAAACTGGAGACTGGAAACTGGGGGATGAGTATGTGCTTATGCCGCTTTCAGCAATACTCCAGCAAAATCACTGCAGGGGTCACCAGAAATGGGCTTGACATATTGTACACGAATCAAACCTGGGTCTTCGGGGTGACCATAGTCAGATCCAAAAGTGGGGCCGGGGTCCATGGGTTCCAGAACTCCATCCCCCCACCACCCCCCACACCCCTTCACACCCCCTTTTATACAACGTAGTATAAACAAGAGCAAAAGTGATCGTGGCTCACTAATACCCCCGACCCGCCTAGTGTGTCAGTAGTTTCAAATTAAATAGCTAGGATAGGGTTAGGTTTTAAAAAATTCATTAAAAAATGGAAAATTAATAATAAAAAAAAAAATTCTTTTGACTGCACCCCTCCATATGACACAGATTATATGTACTAAGTTTGAGATGAATCCACTGAATAGTTTAAGAGAAATCACGCAAACAAAGTTTTTGGATGGACAGAACCTTGGTATATAACCTTTTAGGTCGGGGGTATAAAAATATGTGAAAATTGGCACTAGATGTTATAGCACAGACTTTCTTTAACAGACTCATGGGGACTCCAGGTCAGAAGAGGTCCCCAGGTCATAAGGCCACTCAATCTATGAAGTGGTTAGGCTTGTTGCCTTAGTTGGTTGTGTGGATTGTTGCTCATAATATAGATCACTGGATTGTCTGGTCTAGACTTAATTATTTACAGACCGCTGTCATATACCTTGCTTGAATATTGCAAAGAAACACATATACCTTCTTCAACAGGTAAGAAACATACAGACATCTGATGAAGAGATTCTTGTATGCATGGCATAATGTTCACAGTGACACAGCTATTCACATATGATGGGTGCCCCACTTTTTTCTGCTTGAACTGTTTGTTGAGTTATAAGACAGGTCCAGCTTTCCAGCACAAATTTCAACATTGATATACCTGAATCACTGGTGTTGAAATTGGCATTCAAATACATGAATGACTTTTCTGAATGAGCTTCAACATGTTCAAGGTTCCATATTATTATCACAAATCTAATCTTTATTTGCTGCAGTCACATGAAAAATAATTGATAGCTGCTGACACAGTCGCTCTCACTAAGCCACCTGCCTACTTCCATGTTTATCAGTCAATAAAAAAATAAACTTATCAAACTGCGTCTCCTCCAAACACCCTTGATGATTTCTGCATGGGCATGACGTGATAGGGGCATGACGTGACTGGGGCATGACAGGGTCATGGCAGGGACGGCGTCAACCCTTTCAACATCAACACTCAACATCTACTCCAGTCACCTATGTGATGATTGTGTGATTTTCAGTGTGTTTTATCTTAAGCTTACTTTGCAGTTTCAAAACTAGGTTTATTTAGGTCATCTATTATCTGTTTCGTGTTTCATTCATTCTTTCGCCATGGGGAATTTATTGTACCAAGATGAGAAATTCATGTAACGAGAAACCAGAAAGTAATTAAGATGGCTTTACATTATTTTTTTGTAGGTTGGTGGTCTGGCATGCCCAAGGGACGCAACTCTGCACAACCAATTGCAGCATCCAAGATGACTTGGACACCCATGACCCCAGGAGGGCGGGCGAGTGAATGTCACTTTTAGTAACTTGTCTACAAATCGTAGTTGACAATTTGCAACTGACATCACCACACAACCAGTGAGGTAGCAGGGGTGGCCCAGTGGCGTCACAATCCACTGTGCAGAGTTACTTCCCTTGGGCATGCTGGGTTGAGTATCCAATTGTGCAACGTACTGTGAAAAGTGATGGCAGGACACACAAGATAAAAAAGTAGGTTTGTCTGTCATCAAACGACAAGTTTATTATTTGTGATGAGAACAGCCACGCAGATACTAAACTGGCTCATCAATGCCAAAAGGAAAAAAGGAAAATTGCAGGATGTAAAACACTGTAAGTTTGAAAAGACACATTTTTGGTAACTAATCTGGACACTCCTGAAAGTGGTCACTGCTGCGTCACTCACTGTTTTGCCAGCAAGTGAATAATGAGATACCTGAATATTACAATCTCGCTTGACAGATAAGATAGCAGCTCTGGCAGCTGAATGGCCAGAAATTTGGCCATAATAAACAAACTGGAAAACTCTTTTCCCCTGAAATACTCATGCCCAGTTGTGTGCAAGGCTTTAGCCCTCGGAAACAAGCACGACCTCCATTGTCAGTTTAAGGCAAAGTCATTGCTATGGAAACTTTCAAAAGGCACCAGTTTACCACTAGACCTATCTATGCCAAGTTTGGCAAATATATCTCTCATGTTTTTTTTAGTTCTGCTCCGGAAACAAAACATGAAGGACAGATGAACAGCACCCATTCCTTTATCCCCCCCTTCCACTTCGTGGTGGGGGATAACAAATGTTTTCACACAAACAGATTTGAGACATCAGCATTCTTTGACTACCAAAGCTACTGATGGGAAATACAACTTTCTGTATTTTAAGAAAACATGACTTCTTTGTAGATTCTTATTCTAAAATCATTCACAACGTAAATATGTGACCCTTCCAATATACCGGTAATGTATTGAGCTTAGAATTGGTCTTCAGCAACTCATGCTTGTGGTAAAAGGCAACTAACGGGATTGGGTGATCGCTTGCTGACTTGGTTCATGGATGTATGCTGTATGTATGATGTCAGTCACTGAATTGTCTGGTCCAGACTCCATTATTTACAAACCGCTGTTATAAAGCTGGAATGTATGTGTATGTGTGCATGTGTATGTGTGCATGTGTATGTGTGCATGTGTATGTGTGCATGTGTGTGTGCATGTGTGTGCGTGTGTCTGTGTTTCCGGACTGTTAACTGAGACTGACATACCATGTCACAGTTTAACAGTCCTTCATTAATCCTTAAGGCCAAACTCAACAACAGGTGCCATCTTTCAACCCTCCCGACCAGACACACTATTGGTTGACAGCATTGGTCCACGCCACTAGGTGACAATGACAGTAATCCAGGCAATAAATTGTAACCCAATCCTGATTAGTCATATCATACAACAAGCATGGGGACAATCTGACCCAGACATCCAGCAGGTTTCAACAAGTATGTTTGTTTGTTGTTTAATCCTGCACTCCGCAAATTTTGCAGCTATATCATGGAGACCTGTAAATGATGAAATCTGGACCAGGCAATCCAGAGATAGACATCATGAGCATCGATCCACGCAATTGACATGCCATGCAATCAACCCAATGATCACCTGATCAGTTTAGTAGCCTCTCATGACAAGCATGGGTTGCCTTGCAATCTTTCTGTGAATCTTCACAGGTTTACTACAAGTAGAGAGTTGAGTTGGAGGACCTATTCCGCCACAGATTAAAATAAATTCTCCCATGAATTTGAACGTACTCATTTCTGATTGGTCAATCAGAGGCAGTCAAATGACAATAAATCCCCTCTGACTGAAACACTGGTTTGACGGTCGCATTTCCAAGGATGATAATATTCATAGAATAGTACTTTTATTCAGTTATTGTCGGTAAGCATATTTAAATAATTATACATACAATTATAGATTACAAAATGCAAAGTTGCTGTTACTCCATTATTAAAGGATGTGTGGCAATACATTTCGTGCAGAAAACAAGATAGAAATCTAAAAGAGAATTATTATTAGTTTTGGGAACTGAGAGCTGAATATGGCACTTTTCTATATACGAACCATGCTAAATTTAACATTTGAAACCTGACACTGCACATTTGGTTCCAAATTCAATTTAGTGCTGTTAAATCTATAGGTGACCTAGCTCTACATTGAAAACACAGTATGTTTATCTCCAAAGCAACATTATTTATCAAATGACCACAAAC